TTTAAATTCACAAGGAGAACCAAAAGGCTGCCTTGACCCATGCTGCTTCCCCAGCAGCTCCCTTGTTTTGGCTCAGCCTGGGCAAACCTGCTCCTTTAAACACAGCCTGATATGACTCGCCGCACAGCTTCCAAAGCCCTGTTCGGTTAAATATCACTGTAATGTTAAAACATTGCTCCAGGCATACATAATGAATAAACTGTTATAAAAGTCCCAATCCAAAACAGACTGGACATATTACACCATGGGATACAGAAAGACAGGCGGATACATTTGACTTCAGAATAAGCAAGTTTTCTCCAAGAATTTTGGCTCCTGCTCATCAAAAGGCAGAGTAATTTCCTATTCAGCCTTATTTTTGAAGACATGAAGTCAGCTTGAAAACACTATACATACAAATAGGCAGTTAAAACATCTGACGCTTTTTTTTAACCAGATTTGTAGAAAAATGAAAAAGGACTCTTCCTATAAGCCCTACATATCTCTGATATAAACATAAGTAGCACTGTCATTTTTAAATTGAAAATCAAATGTAAAATTTAAGTAAAATCTTACCCATAATGTAATGCTAAATTGCATGAGGCTAATTTGAACCTGCCCTACAATTAACTGCCAAACAGCTATTCCACCTAACTTTGAAGATCTGACTCCAAAATAATCTGCAGATTTCAATTACAATGAAGATGAGACTGTTACCAGTCACTGCTGCACAGAAGCAGTAACCACTCAGAAAGAGTTCCTATTCAAAGGAAAACAAAACCCCTAATCCAACAAGCAACAGCAAAAGACAATTAGTCTATATTTATACAGAACCAAAATACAAATGAATACAAGTGTAACACCTATAAAAATACAACTTCACAAGATTTTTCTGGTTTAGGTAATAACATCCATGTTTCAAAGTATGTTATAAGCCAGGCAAATACAAATGGCCCAGCAGCAAAATCTAACTCCTAGTTTTCAATCTCTGAAGACAAACGTTTTTATATCCCTAGATAAGAGATGAAAGAGCATCCAAAATAACACCAGGGTAATTTTGGCAGCATACTGCACTCCCCACCTTGGACAGCCACAACATCAAAGTGATTTCCAATCGGTATTACAATTTTCAAACTAAATTTTGCAATTTGCTTGTTTTCTGGCAGGCTTTCTGAAGACACACCAGCAGCTGCAGCCCAGCAGCCCCATGGATTTCTCTAAGCCTGGCTTACAGGAGTCCCCTATCCTGCAGTCCCACTACACCCACTTCCACAATCAAGACCCTGAACCTCATTTTTTAGGAGAGACACAGTCACAGTGCTTGCTGCATTATTAAGCAGAACTGCTTGAGCTTGAAACACCTGCCCAGACTAATATTGGCCCTTTTTCTTTCCTGCATAACTATACAACCCCACACACACTCCCCCACCGGAAATAAATCTGTGCAGAAGGCAAAGGAGTCCAGATTCTCTTAACCCGACTCTTGGAGACAGCTCCTCCCCGTTTCAGTGCACAAGAGCCAACGTAACCTTGTTCTTGCAATCACTGCCATAAGAATTTGCTGTTATTTCAAATTCCAAATGCAACAGCTTATTTCCCCCTTGTTTTCTTTTACCATCACACCCTGCAATGACATTTTAAAACTCACTTCATGTGTCTGCAGCCCTATGTGGGTGCAGATCTCACTAATACCTATTGCAAAAGCAGGTAATGTGGCAAAATTCATGCTTCCATGTAGATGGAGTTTTTATGTGCTGCATGTGTTACCAGACCAGTGCTTAACACAACCAGAGCCTAGAATCACAGTTTATAAACACACTTGGCCATTTTATTAGCAACAACACAGTTTTAAGCACTCCCACCAAAACACAAATAGGATTATAAACTTCCACCTGCTTTACATTTGCAGCACATGTAACTCTTCCCATTCTTCAGATGACCCCCACAAGCTCTCAGTGCCAAATTTTGTTTATTATTTGTCAGCAAGAGCAGCAGCATCTGCTCTTTGGTAAGCTCCATTGGGAGCAAAACAGCTGGGAGGAACACAGCTCCCAAAAGCATCAGAAAAGGCATCTCCAGCAGCTCCCAGAGCTGTCACATTGCTAAATTACTTTATTCCCTGCTGCTTTCAGTTCACATTTTTATGCATGCCTCTTAAGGCACAAGCAGACACTTGTAACCTCAGTGATAAAACCCTCCCGTCTGCTGCACAGCCACTCGCTCCGCTGATGGAGATTTACCAGCGGTCAGGAGCAACGAACACCTGCACAGGCAGCTCCCTGCAGATGCAGGGGCCATTTGTAGACCAGTCTCCATCTTTTCCATCCTGTCTGGGCCTCCCTCCCACACCCCTCCCTTGGTGCTGATGGCTGTTGTTTGGCCAAGCTGTTTTCCCGTTACTGCAGTCTTGCTGGCTCACATACCACACCACACTCCAAAAGCACCACCATAAAGCCTCCGCACACTTTAGAAAAGGACTGACAATGCTTTATAAACAGAAGACACTAAAAACATACAAAACCCACAGCAAAAAGCAATCCCAACCCGGTACAGCATGTAAGATCTGAGTAAGGAGCTACTCTCTCTCCCCAAGGGAGCATTTACACACACCAGCACTATTTATATTTATATTTATATTTATATTTATATTTATATTTATATTTATATATGAATCACCCATCACTTTAAGCTATCATGCATGATCACCACTTCCACAAGAATGGCAGTATTTAAACCACTTCTACTTTATTTTCCCATCACTTTTTCCCCCTTACATTTTTATTTAACAACTCTATTTAAAAAACAGGAACTCCAGGAACACCACTCCCATTATCCCCAAAGCCTTATCTTCACTTTAAATAGATTTTTCTCAGCTCAAGTCAAATAGCTAAATGTGGAAGACACCCAATGATCTCAAGCTTAACCTGGCAACCCCACCCTGTGCTATATGTACTAATATTTTTCACTTGACTTAATTAGTGGGATTCAGATGAGACCTCAGCAGCAATGTGCCCAACACCACAAACCACAGCAGTGATGGTTCACATGCTTCACCTGGCAATGCACCAAAATGCACTGTGGCCTTTCCAGAGCCTTGAACTCCAACACCACAAGGTGCTCCCAGTTCTCCACTATGATGAGCAGCCCCTCCTGATGCTAATTCTCCACTAGGACTTCCTCAAAGATAATGAAATAAATTAGGATATGCTTTACTTCCCGTTTGTTGAAGCCATACTTAGCACGTGTTTTCAAGAAACTGTCTGAATCCACATGATCACAATCTTTTTCCCCCATTAACGCTGAAATCCTTCTATAATTACTAACACTTAGAAGCTGGGCTTTAGGAAAATACCAACTAACATGACATTAGAAACAAAAAATAACACTGCAAGATCTAGATGCCTCAAGATGGTATCAATACCACAGCACATTGCGATGCCACAAAGTCATTATGCTAAAGAAATATGGGGCGATGCTGTCCTCACCATTGCTGCAGTGGTGCAGGAAGTGAGGGAAGTAAGGTCAGGCTGGATAGCGTTTGAGGAACCTGGTCTAGCGGAAGGTGTTCTTGCCCCTGGTGGGAGGTTGGAGCTGGATGAGCCTTAAGGTCCCTTCCTTAAACCCAGATCTTTCTGCAACTCTATGATTTAGTTTCTCCTTGTAAAACTTTCAAGAAACCAGGGACAGAAAACAGCACCTTTATTTTTCCATCACAGCTCCCCACAGAAGATCAGGTAAATCTACAACTCAAACTATTCACGAGTTCATTGTCCATCTCCTCTTTACAGAGAAACACTAAACTGCTGGGGGCACACAGGCAGGGAAAAAAAAAAAAAGGACTGGCAAATGAGCCCCCTTGATCATAAGACATCTGCTCAGACATCTCCTGTCTGGATGTTAGCAAAAGGTCTCTTCATCAAGGGAGTCTGAGCAAACCCAGATTAAGCTTCAGTTTAAGGACAGGAGAAGGTTTAGCCATTGCACACAAAACCGGGTTTATTCTTGTCAAGGCAAACATCAGAGATTGTTATTGACTTTGACCAGGGATGTGGTCCCATCTCTAGCAAAATCCCATTTGCTCCTCTTCACTGTCATTGGAGCTTCCTTAAACATCTGCACATCTCCACACAGACATTAACTACTGCAACCTGTCAGTGGAACCTCAAAATAGGTGACAAGTTACTTTTTCCTGGCCTTTGAAAGCTGGCTTTTCTACCCCTGAAAGACTGCAAAGAAACCTCCACAAAATAAGTATTTTAATCTAGAAGTGATTCCTAAGAGCAGCACATGCCAAAACCAAAGACGGCATGGAGCCTGCTGGCAAAGGCAGCATTCTGCTTCTGGTCACACATCTACCTAACTGGGAGGGAAGTCAGTACCGACACTATTCACTCTTGTTGAACTCCAAACGTCAGTGATGGTCCTCATATTTCCAAAAAGCTTTACAGTTATTACCATGTCTGAACCTAGTCACAGGTCCATTTACCAGTGCATTAATTCTCGTGCAGAGCATGCCTTAGAAACTTTTCTTGATGGCTTTCAGTTAGTGAAATAGAATTTGGATCCAGGAATGCCAAGGGCTCATCCCAAGCTCGCTCATGTTGGGGTGCTCCACCTCCTGACCTACTTTGGTGACTTCAGGTCTAAGTTACCTTTCCAGACCGAGGTCTGACCTTGTTCAGCCCCCAATGCAGCAGCACACTCCACCTTTCCTGCAGCTGAGCAGTACAGCTCAAAACAGATCTCCTAACCACCCGCAAGATGCCTTTCTAGGGAGCCACCCTCACACCGCCTCATCATACCAACGCGCCCCAACCCCCTCTTCTCGGGTACCAGCGACACCTCAAGAGGCCACATCTGCGAAGCCGGGCTCCTACACTCGGATGTCCTCCAGCGGCCACCAGCCCAGCCCAGCCCCGGCCGTGGCGGCACAGGGCTCCCAGGAACCAGGTCACCCTCAGCACCTGGCGCCACACTGCGGGTGTTTTCCCGTTCCCCCCACTCACTCCCATCCCGCCCTACCTTCCTGCGGCGGCCACCCGGGGGCTGCAGCGGGCAGCAGCCGGGCTCGGCGCTCCCCCGCCGCCCGCTCCGCACGTAGGTGACCCGTCGCCTGCCCGCCGCCGGGTGCTTCTCCGTGCCGCGGGCTGGAGGAGGCGCCCGCCCCGCCGCTGCTGCTGCCGGCTGGGGCTTCTCCTCCGTGCACCAGGATCGCCTCATGCCCAGCTGGAGGGAGAGGAACAGCGCGGCAGAGAGCAGGCAGAGGCGAAAGGCCGAGCCTCGCCACAGCGGCCGTTCCTTGGGCATGGCGGTGGGGGCTCGCCCTGCCCAGGCCCCGCCGCAGGGCTCATGCCGCCGGCGGGCCGGACCCCGCGGCCGCAGCCGAAAGTTGGGAGACCCCGCCCCGAGCGGGGCCGGCCGGGGAGGGGCCGCGATGCCCCTGCTCCAGTGCCTGCCATGGTCCCGGCGCCGGTCCCTGCCGTAATGGCGTGTGGAGTCGGTGTCCGGTCCCTGCCGTGTAGCGTGTCACACCTGCGTGTCAGTGGTACACGCACCCCGAGCCATGCTGCCTTCAAAGGCCCGGCTTGACAGACGACATCTCTTATGAAAAGTTTTCTCTCTGTTATATCAACCCACCTTTATAGTATGGAAGTGTATTAACTTGTTAGTATGTTTGTGTTCCCATTAGAGATCGCAGTGCCATCAAGTAGTGGAATTTTACTGGAGACTTGTGTATTGTCCATGCTTAAGTAAAGCAAACTAAAGGACAGCCTGGCCCTGGAAGTAAGGACTTTGTTTCTTGGGAGGTTAGAGATGTCTGTGCATGCTAATGGATACGCCTGGACAGACAAGATAACACCAGAATCCTAGCCCCTCTGTCATGTCTTTAAAGGCCTCACAGCATTGCCGATAAGTAAATCTAGCAAGGCTGACTCCAGGGAGGTCTGGATCAATAGATAAACAGCAAGAATACCACAAAAACAGAAGTTGCTTCGGAAAGTTTTACTACACTTAGTAATCAGTGCTGCAGCTGCTAGTGATTAGTTAAATGTTAAATGTTGGACTTGCTTGTTTGAAGGCTGTGAGACCCTGTGTGAAACCACAGTTGGGATGGAACACCTCATGTGCATGAATAATTTCTAGCTCTGTACTTCACATCCAAACCTTTCTCCTGGGTCAGCTCAGGCCAGCTGGAAATGTTCATGATATGTCCTTAGTTTCAGCTGTGAAGGAAAGGCTGGAGGTGAGCTGAGCAGGGTTGAGGGGCAGCACAGAGGATGGGTGTCCAGCTTACCTCTGCAGGAACACATGCAGCCCTTTGTCTCAAAATGGGACATGCTACACAGAAATATAAACGCACAGGCTGGCTTTAGTCTGAAGCCACAACGCTAAAGCATTGCTGAGCGATGAGCAGGTGGTGGTTGGTGGGATTTTCTGTAGCAGGAGCTGCAGGTGGGGAAGTGTGTCAGGGGCAGGAGGCAAGCTCTGTGCACAGGGAGGAGGGCAATGGCGGGCAGTTTGCAGCACATGCCGCTCAGTGAGTAACAAATACGTTCTCAGGTGGGATGTGCAGGGACGTTCGCAGGACATTGCTGTGCAAATACTTCCCGTTTCTTTGCCACGTCGGGGTGAAAGGTTGCGACTCTTGTCTCCGGCATGCAGTAACATGCTTCCAGTGCCCCTGCCTTCTCTCCTGACAAGGGAGGGGCTTTCTGCGCTAAGCTTCTCCTTCCTTTCTGCTGCCTTGTCCCCAGCAGCAGCCTGCTCTGCTCCTCTCACCTCTCCTGTCTGCTCACAGCCTCGGCAGGAGCCGGAGATAGCTCCTGCAAGGGCAGCAGGTCAGAGAGGAGCACGGGGAAAAAGGGCGCCCACTAGCAGGTAGCAAACAGACCTGCTGGCAGCAGGACAGAGGAGTTGCATGCAGGGAGATACGAGAGGGAGCCGCAATCTCTGCAGACGTGGGATTTGAAACGTGGCTCCGAGCACAGATGTACTGGCAGGGCAGGTGTTTACTCTCTGCCATTTAGACATTGCTGACCTTTTGGCTTTTTTTAGGTGTTCTTCTAAATTAGGTTAAAGCAATTCCATGGTTGTTTTAAACCGCCCTAAATGCAGCAGGCTCCTCTTGGAAGGGGGTAGGTGGCAGTGCTGCCTGCCATTCCTGTAGCAGGAGGAGGGCCCCTTTGTTCTAAGCTAAGCCAAACTAGGGCAGTGACCCACCTGAAAACTATCTCAAGAAGAACTCTTGTCTAGAGCAGTTTACTAATAGACCTGGACACCTTTATCAGTACCTTCCTGTCTGTTGATCAGCCTACAGCCAACGTGGGACAGCCTCTGGGTGGTTTATGCCTTTAGGGAAATGCAGTGCAGATGAGACCACTTCTCCCCCTGTCCCTGCTCAGAGGTCCCCATTCCTCCCTTGGTCAGGCTCAGTTGTTTGCCACAGAACCAGGTTGGCTCTGGTGCTGACCTGTCTGATAACCACAGGCTTTTCTCCTGTTTCCACCCCCCTTAGGTGGATCACAAGCAGACCAGACAAGCCCTGGTGCTAGTGCAAGGGAGGGACACATTTATGAAGACAGAGGGAGAGTGTGACTGCAACAGCTACACCTGACATCAGCTTAAGAGATGGGCACCCAGCTCCATCCGTGAGCATCACCTGGAGTTCATCAGCAGAAGGTCACTCAGGCTGGCACAGGGTTGCCTGTGCATGACTTTGCTTCTCCATGTGAAATGGAATCATTCATCTGGTGGACAAAAGTAATGCTGCTGCTCTGAGAGATTTAGACATACACCAAGTGCATTAAATGAACAGATAAATGTGACAAGACTTGCAATACTACTAGCCAAAATCATTATATCACAAAATTCTTAGCACCAAAGTTTTTTTAAATTATCAGCATCTTGTCAATAAATAATGGCATGTGAAGGTCTTATTAAAAGAAAAGTTTGTGTTTGTATGGTTATAGAGAAAATCTTAAAGACAGAAGTGTAAAGGTCAAGATTCAAAAAGTATCAAGTGACCAAATACATTTTAAAACTCTCTCTTGAAGTTTAATCCTTGGGAAATCAAAGTTTTCCTAAAAGCTTGAACAATGCATATTCAAGTACAAGAGGTCCAACTGAGCAGAATAAAAGCCACAAGGTCTCCCTTGGTTTTAGCATCACAGGTCCATTTGTTATCCTGCTCTCATTGTATAGCTTCAACAGAAAGCTCAAGTGCTTGAATCCAGCCACTCTTCTTGTCATCACTGAGCTATAACTGTAAATGCTGACCTTGTATGAGACATTCCCTTTCTTAGAAAGCTGATCAGCCCCAGTCTGTGAGCATGCTGAGGAGTGGTTCTGATAAAGAAAAGTTCATAAATTTAACTCAGTGTTTTCCTTGGGCTTTTGTGTTTTAACAAACATTTGACTTTCTCATGCTTCTCCCCATCCCACGCCCCCATCTCTTTTGAACATAAGACTGCCTGTTTGAAACACAACAGAGGGTTTCTAAAGATAGAGAAAAGGGATCAGTAGTAGAGAAGGATCTCAGGAAATCTCAGAAACAATGAGAAATCTTACCTGGATTGTCAAGAGAAATAGTGGGAATTAAGTACCTTAAACAGTCTCACCTCTCCAATCTAACAAGTGAATTATAAACTAATTTCTTCTCCTATGAATTGGCTGCAAATGAGCAATGCCTGTTGAGAAGAAAATTAAGATTGCAGCATAATGTATGCAGTTCCAGTTTAGCTGGAGGATGGGCCCTTTTGGGATGATTGCTGAGAAATCACAGCTTCTGCAGAACATGCTTTCTCTTTGAGTCAGACAGCAAATGGCATCCCAAAGCAAGATAGATAGTGTTGGAGGAACATATATCATGCCGAATCCAACAGAGCACAAAGTTTTGTCATAGGATGTGAAACGAGTCTGAATATAAGCATGCAAATTCTGAGAGAAGCAAGTGTGATAACCAAAATCAGATGTCAGCCCTACTGTACCTACTTTTTATGTAGGTGCCACAGATGTCTACAGCTCCTTTAATTTCCACAGGAAAAGTCTCTAAAAATGTAAAATACCTCCTGCATTTACAAATTTGTCTATGGTTCTAAACCTCTGGAAGGAAGAAGTTTCACATCAACAGAAATCATTGCCTCAGTGCTGTCTTTGCTGCTTACAAATTGCATCTTGCCTTGGATGTTGCTGGTAGCAAAATATCTCTTTTGCAACAGTTATTCAGTGTTGATCTTCTTTATGTCAATTTTCAGTTCATCTTGCCTGTCACCATCCATTGCCTGCCTCCCCCCACTGTCAAGGCTTCTGGTTGTCTTCTGGCTAGTCAAATTGTCTGCCCAGATCTCTGTGCAAAACTAAGCCCCAGGCAGGAAAAACACCACTAGGAATTCCCTGGATTCTTGAAAGGCTGTTAATAGAAGTCAAACATTCCTCCTATAAAATGAGTAAATGAATAAAAATGCTCTTTTTGACGCTATTTAACAACCCTGCTGGGTTTGGTATGAGCCACTTGCCAAAATCTACAGGACAGAGTGAAGGAAAACTTTATTCCCCTCTCCTCCCTCCTATGTTCCTGGCTACTGCTTTAAAAACTGCAGTGACATTGGTCTGTACACATGAAAAAAAGAGAAGTTTTGCGTAGAAATTTTCACAAGATCATTTCAAAAGTGGCTTCATGAAGAGAAGCACGGTGCGTCCTTCCCCACAGAAGATGAGTGTCTCTGATCCTGAGTCTTCAGGAGTCAGAGCTTTGGTCCTGGCCTCTTTTACTGCCTTGCACATTTATGTGCCAAAGCTCTGCCATAACCCTGAGGAATGTGGGATTAAATGTTTATAGTTCCCAGGGTGACTTCTCAGAGATGGCTCCAGTGCAAGTCTGGTCTCACTTCTGCTCCTTAAAAAACTGCAGCTGGAAATCCTGGAAGTATTTCTCTATACATCAAGTGACAGACCCCCCTGGAGCCTGCACACAGCCAGCAGCTCTGCAAGAGCAATAGAACCCTTGCTCCTTCCTGTGCCTTAAATCCCACTGGAAACTCAGAGAAAGAACCTTTTTCTGTTATCTTTCAGATGTTACCAATGGAGAAGTAAATTGGCCATATTTGTCTATTATCCACTTACCGCTGCTGAGAAATATGTGTTTGAACAGCTGTCAAGGCTAAAGCTCAGCTGCGTGGATCATTAAAACCACTTCTCAGCTCGCCACTAGTAGGTTTGAAGGTAATAGCTAAAAAAATATATGTTCATGAGGACTCCCATTAGCTCTCCTCAAGCTCGTGACTACTTAGCCAGCTTAACACAAGATTGATCTTGCTGCTTGGCAGCTCAGTGCAAGGCATGGGCAGAAGCTCTCTTTTCCCTCTGGCTACAGAGAGATTCAAACACCACATGCAAGCTGCATGCTCTGAATTTAATGAAGGAGATAGTTGATAATTAGTGGCCTGGAGAGGGGATTATAGATAAGGATTTACCTCTGAGTCACGCTTTTACGTATTTGCACACATACATAACTGTACCTGTGCACATACATTCGCTGCAGGAATGAGAAGAGGAATGAGACAGCCCTTCATAGAACATGCTCTACAGCTCTCTGCTATCTCTGGGCCTTACCTTTATTTATTTAACCCTAATCTTCATGGTGTTTAAAAATGTGATTTGTTTCCTCCAGCTGTTTTTCACTCCTGGAGAGGAACAACAGTGTAGTTTCATGGTCTGCCTTTGACTAAATTGTCTGCTCATTCTGAACAAGCAAAATTCTGCCTGCTTTTTAAAGTAAATCTGCTCAATTTTATTGAACAGATAGAAGTGTAAAGATTGACATGTATCACCATTTTTTAAAAAGATGTTCCTTGTTCCAGTTTACAGGAGTTAAGCAGTGGTAGTTGATATGCAGTTCATGCACAAGGATTTTTATGATATTAGTTTGTTGTCTGTATTTCCACTGTATCTATACTGTAATCCCAGACAAATGTCCAGTTTTGCTTAAAAATTACCCTCAGTTTCTATTACAAAATCCTATTTTCTGTATGCTTTAAAGATTACTTTGGTGTTACTCTAGGCTCAGCTTTCTCCCCTTTTTTGGATGCAATCAATTTTACTGGCATTTTTACACTTCTAAGCTCAAGGATTAATATATTTCATTAAAAAATGTAATTTGGCAAAGGGATTAATCCATAATGCTCAGAATTCTACAAAACACCACAGCTGGAGTAGTAATTATGCCTTTAAGAAGTTACATAAGCCTTTTTATTGCATGTTTTTAACGGGTTCATATGGTACAGTACAAATGCTGAAGTATTTATACAGGGGACAGCAGTGGCACTGGAGTAATCAAGCACATGTCACAATTTGATCACTGAGAGAGACATTCATCTGCAAGTGCTTGGGGAAAAGGTCTCTCCAAGGGGAGAAAAGGTACAAGCCAAAGCACCGGGGCTGCTGGGGAGAACATGTTCCAGGTAGCAGTTTCACAAACAAATCAAGACCTGTAATTAATGCGCTGTGTACTTTTTCTACAGTCTGTCTTGTTTGATATACTGCAGTGTGTCTGTACAGTTTCTGCCTCATTAAGGCAATAGGATAAAATAAAAGTTAAGAGTGGCTGGCAGCATCCTTGGTGAACCTGATGGGTTCATGGGATAGGAGACATGCAAAAATGTCCTGGACCAGTGTGCAGCCCAATTAAGTGACATGCATCCACCTTTAAAAAAGGTCTTACCTATGTGTCTGAAGAGTGTCCCATTTTTGCAGGACACTAAACTCAATATCACTGTCTTTACCTGAACAAAAAGGTTGTTTTTCTGAAGTATTACCATGTGGTCAGACAATCCTTTCCTTCAGCTGGTTGCATTGTAAATGTCTTAGACAAAATCCTAACAATGAGAAGAGAAATGGCCTTGCCTTCAGCAAAAAAGATGCCACAGCTCCCCTGCAGCTGAGCAGCCTGGCCAGGACCAGACGGTGAGGATAAAACTCAGTGCTCTTCCCCCAGGCTCCTTTCAAGTCAGTCTCTCCTCAATGGAATGTAGAGCAGCATCAGTGATGCAGAGATATTGGTATTGATTCAAAACGGAATGACCTCCTTAGCTGGGAGTTTGTATATAGGTTAGGTGTTACCACAGGGGTCATCCTTTTGGCATGTGTCTTTCCACAGCGTGTCTGCCTCCATCCTCAGCCATGGACGTGCAAAGCAGAGGCCAGCCACACGCTTTGAAGATGTGAAGGGGGTTTCTGAAGATGCAGGCATTGCTACAAGCAATCAACATTCAACCAGGCTAATGCTTGTGGTTGTGTCTCAAATCCTGTCTCGCTTGCAGACTCCTTGTTAGGAGATCCGTTTGCCAGGATGCACTGAATTTCTTCAGGAACAAGGTCATTCCTCTTTACCTCTGTCACAAGGTAAAGTACATGCATGCGAAAGCATAAAGGCTCTTTGCAGAGCTTGTGTGATTCCTGCTACAGTCCTAGTAGCAAAGGCAGTGGCTACAGAGGAGGGCCTGCCCTGCCACCTCTCTGCACTTGGGTCAGCATAGCAGAGGTGGCATAGAGTGGGGAGGACTGTCTCAGGGCACACTTACCCTCCCACACAAGGCAGAGGAGAAGCAACTACTCTGAGCAGTAGCTGGGTCAATGCCTGAAGCCAAACAAACACAGGAACCTCCTGGCTGGTGCCCAGGGCACTGCAGAAGGCAGGGAGAGACCTGAGCTGTGACCTGCAAAGCAGCAGCTGGAAGAGGTAAATCTTCCCCTTAAATTCTCCCTCCTCCCTCAGGCTTAACACAAGGGAAAGATGATCACTGATGTACAAGTGACAGGAGTCTTTAGGGATAAAGACTTTTTGCTCAGCCTTCCAGTGCAAAGACAAACAGCAGCAAGATAGCTCTCAGCAACCCAGACAAGAACATTTTAGTGCATAATTATGGATGAGATGCAAAAGGACAAAAAAAAGAAGGAAAACATCTGTTTGCGTAGAGTTTATTGCCATTCACTTAAGAGGCCCATTAAGTGCCAGAAAAAGCTATTTATCCGTCTGTTTGAGGCAATTACCCTGCTGCAGATCTCTGTGGCAGTTTGCCCTGTGATTACTCCTGGAGTGCTGACGCTCTGTAGACAGATACACTTACCATACAGGAAAAAGACACTGACCGTGCCCACCAAGGTATATGGAGGGATTTTCAAATGTGGGGTAGCCAGTGCTTCTCAAGGGCTTTAGCTCACACTTTAGCTCTATGGAGAAGTGCGCTATTTCTTGGAGTCAGGTGCCTCAGCCCCTTTCTTTCAAAAATCAAAAGGAGCTTTTTTTTTTTTTTCATTGAAAACACACCTAAAACTGTGGTTATTCTTCCTGTAGCCACTGCCTCAGCAACATGGGATGTGAGAAACCCAGATACAGTTCTTTGAATGCTCAAAGGAGTCTAGTTGTCCCACTTGACCAGCAGACTTCTTGGTTCACCAGGCTGCAAGGTGTGCAGGGAGGAGAGGCTTCATCTGCTTGAAGCCCAGCCCTGCACTCGTTTGATGAGGAGGAAGGCAAGTGTGAGGCTCCCTCTGTGGCTCTAGTGCATTCCCTGAGGAAAAAGTTGTTTTCCAGACCTTCACTTTAGCCAAAATGCTGACTGGAGGTGCTTCAGAACTGTGTCACACTCTAGTGACACAGAAAATAAGTAAGCCTTTCCTCCTCTGGCTCATAAACGTAAGGAAAGGCTAATGTAAGGCTTGGATACCAGGTGGTTGGCAGACTTTTCAGAAATTGAATAAGAAGGCAAGAGAGGTAACAGTGACAGGAGCACTGCACATGATGCACATGGTGCACACCTCTTACAATGTGGAAATATATTGCCCCCATGGTAGGTAAAGGACATGAACAGAAACGTGAAAAGCAATGCGGGACTGTTTTCCTAGTGGCTGTTCCATCATCAACTGAGAGAGTTGGACTAGTTTAGCCTGGAGAAGAGAAGGCTCCCGGGAGACCTCAGAGCATCTTCCTAAAGTGAGCCTACAAGAAATCTGGAGAGGGCCTTTTTACAAGGGTGTGGAATTCAAAGCCAGGTTGGATGGGGCTATGAGCAGCCTGGTCTAGTGGAAGGTGTCTTTGCCCATGGCGGGGGGTTGGAACTGAATGATCTTTAAGGTGCCTTCCAATCCAAACCATTCTATGGTTCTATGTTTTTTTTTTAACAACAGTTTCTACTATGCTTCTACCTTCATATTTCTGTTTCCTCAATATACTTTTTTTTTAAGCTCTCCCATATGACATGTTACAGACCTAATGGATTCAAGATTATTCCTTGAGATCTGTTGCAGCACCCAAGTCCTCCAAGCCTTATAGCTGTGTGGGATCCCATCAGGCACCCACGTTTCCACTGTGCTCAGCGTCGCTGCATTTGCTCTTTGAGTCGGAGTGTGCAGGTTTCAACTGCTTGATCCAACATCTCCCTCTTGTGGATAATAAGGTGTAAAGCAGGCTAAATAAAGCATCGTACAACATACGCGATTATTTAATAGCTGTGGGAAAAAAAAAACCCAAATCTCGGTCCAGACGATTATCTTCTAATTATTACACTTATTCCTAATGAATTTGAATGTCTCACACTGAAGGTTACCTCAAATAGCATTCGACTGGAAAAGAATCCTAATGAATGGTGAATGCCAATTTTTGTGTATTTTCCAGAAATTTGGCAAGTCTATGGTGTTGTTTGTGCAAAAAAAATCATCAAAATTCCCTGTTGCAGAACACTATTATTTTATGCTCAAGCTCTAAAATCCATCATATATCCCCTCTGCTGTCTGCAACTGCAAGGATTGAGAGAAATGTCTCAAAATACAGTCGTTCTCTTTCTGTGCCATAATTACATCCTTGAAGTTCCCCGTGAGCGTGACAGATCGGTTGCCATCTGCCCGGGATGCCTATTCAATGTAGATCAGATAATGTGGATAAGAAGGAAATATTCAAGTATAGTCCAGTTAACTTTTGTCCAGACATGCCTGGGCTTAAGAAATGGCACAAAGATAAAATTCTCTGCACAGGTGACAGCTAAGTCCTTCTTTCTTTAGGGTGCTTTTCATCATCATAGGAAGTCAGGGAGGTTTAATGACCTTCCACTGTTTTAATCCTCTCCTACATAAGTGTTTCCCTGACACTTGCTCTGTGTTTCTAGATGAAGACTGCAGAGCCAATGCAACAGCATAGACAGATTTGAGATCAAAATGGAATTTTGCAAGTTCCTCAGCTTCAGCTGGAGCTGGAGAGTTAATCTTTGCTTCAGTTCCTGGCAAGGGTCTTGGGTGAGGAGCAGAAACTCAGGGATGGCTGATAAGATACTGCCAGAGACTGACACCTGAGGCTGGGCAGCTGAAGTAAGAAAGGATTCATCTCAACAAACTTCAGCTGCCTAAAAGCCAAGCAGTCAGTGTCAGTGAGCCATTTTTCAGACACTGAAACAGCATGACTCACCTTTGCAGGCAGATGTATAGTTGGCACAGGGCAGCATCACTATATATCTATGGTTATATTTTAGAATATTTAAATTTGCCATGCCTAGGGAGAAAAATGAGGGAGGGATATGCGAGTATTCCCAAAATATTAGGACATATTCTTGGCAAGTTGAAAGCTTCTGGAACAAAAAGCAGAGACATCTGAGTAGGATGCTCAGCCCTTGTGTGGCATCACCTTGGCAGGGAAGAAAACCTCTGTGTGAGACAGTAAGGTTTAAAAGGAATATCATTCTGGAGATGGGGAAAGTGAGCAGACAGAGAGGAGCAGGAGTTCATGATGGCATGTCCTTAATGGTGCCATTTTGACTTCTTTATAAGTGGGAAATGACAAGGTGCAATCTGGACAAATAAATCCCCTTTTAACAGGGCATGGGAGCTGGAGCAAACAGGCTGAATGTACACTTGTTTCTATTTGCTATCAGTCTGAAAATAAGATATGGGTCTAAAGTGCTTGATTTTTATGTAAGGATATTGAAATATCAGAGACATTCCAGAAAAATAATTACTGGTTCATTGTAATAGCATAATAAAAATTACATGGCAAAGAACCAAAATAGATCACTTCCAAATGAGGAAAAGGACATGAACTCTGTCAAATTAAAAGCAGAAACAGAAAGGCAGCCTAAAAAAGATTTTGAGGAAATAACTAATAGACAAAAAGCTTCCTCTACCCCAGCAGGAGCAGGGAGCTTGCTGGAAGGTTCTGCAGGTGACCAGGATATGCAGTGAGCAGATGATCAGCATGGCAAAGAAGCCTGAGAGAAAACAAGCCCTAACACAACAGTTAAACAGATTACTTGTGTCTGCATTCAGTGTAGAAAAGTTTAGTGAAATTCCAATAGCAGAGCTATTTGTTAAGGGAATAATGCAGAGAAGCTGCCTCAGATTGAAAGTCCATTAGATGAGGTTTTAAAACAAATAGATGGAAGGGAGAGTAGCAAATTCATGAGAAGCAGATTTTAAGGAATGCAAATGGTTAATTGTTGCACTATTAGGACTGGTGTACAAACTTTTACTTGAAACAGCTGGAAAAAAAAGGAGAATGGTTCATGACATTGTTTTATTTTAAGTGCTGTGAGGGATCTGGAGAAATGCAGACCACTAAATCTAATACAGCAGGCAAATGGTAAAAGCCGTGGTAATACAATATTTGCAAGGAGAGATACACACCGAGAGGGAAGAACTGGCAGAGCTTTGCAGTGAGGAGCTATGAAGCTGTGCTTCACAACCCTCTTACAGCTTCAGAGGAAACAGCGAAGCTGCAGACTAAAGCAACCACTCAGTATGATCTACTCAGCTTCTGGAAAGCCCTTAGTAACATCTGTCACCAGGGATTCATAAAGAAGCTAATCCGCCAAGGGGTAAGAGGGAAGATCCTCTCATGAGTCAGCAACTGCATATAGGATAGAGAGACAAGGGAACAATAAATCATCTGTTTTTCACAGTAGAGAAAAGTCACCAGTGACATCTTGTAGGGATCAGTGGGTTAATACACAGAGCCATCAGTCAGGCAGTAAACAGTGAAGTGGCTCACTCTGTGGTGGTACCAGCTTGTTCAAGGTAGTAAAATACAAAACTGCCTGCAAGGACCTACAAAAATCATCATCACTAGAGCCTTCTCCAGCCTGAACAACCCCAACATTTCCCTTTTTCCAGTCAGTGGGAACTTCACTGGACTGCCATAACTTCTCAAATATGATGGATAGTGGCTTAGCCAACTCACCCACCAGCTCCTTCAGGACCTGCAACTGCATCTCATCAGTTCCCATGGACTTGTGCACCCTCAGGTTCTGCAGATGGTCTCATACCTTTTCCCATGTATTTTTACATTCCATGTTAGCTGAGGACAAAGCTGCAGTTTGACAAGCCTTAAGCCAATACTGCTGCCAAAGCAGCAGCTCTACCCTTTTGTACTCCTGGAAAGGACAAATGATGGGTGGGGGGAATGAAAGATTAGCCTTCAGAGCTGAGGAGAAGAGGGCAAGGCTGCTGAAGGCACGGTTGGCTTAGGCTGATCCCAGGCGCTTATTGACCTATAGTTAATTTGGTGATGTTTCTTCTGACGGCTGTCTCTTGTGAAGGAAACCATCCTCATACCCCCTGAGAACAGCAGGAGTTGGTAGCCATGTCTGAATGTGGCCTCTCTTGGCCCTGTCAGGTCATCGCAAATGAAAGAAAACCCTTTGTTTATGAAAGGAACACTAGAGAAGTGACCTTTGCTCTATTATTAGAACTTTATCAGTTCATTTCACTTACGTGAACTCTTAAAGGATTTTGATTTGGTTTGTAACTATAAGGTCAAAAAAAAACCCTACACAAAAGTGGATGTTAATCCTTCTGAATAAGCCAGTTAAGATCTAATAAGTGGCTTAATCCCTGGAAGACCTATACTTCGACAGTAAACTCAGATTTAGGAGCAACTACCTTCAGCCACATCAAACGCTTGGGGAATTGCTGAGAAGCCCACTTAGCCTCTGCCACAGAGTGAGTGTCTGGGTTCTGGTGGTCTCTGAAGCTGGTGTTAAGATCCTTGTTGGTTTGTCTCAGATTCATTCATACCAGCTGTTGCAAGGAAAGCAGCCAGTGCCAATGCAAAGTAGAAAAGAGATGCTTGCACTCCCAAGACCACTCTGATAAACACTCTCTGTCAAACATAGGCCATGTCAATGCTGCTCGTAGGAGGAAAAAAATCATCTCTCTCTGTGAGCAAAATCTGAAGGGCTTGGGGACAAAAAAAAGAGATTTGCAAACAGGTGTGAGAAACGGTGTGCAAACCCACAGCTCATATGGGGCAACTTCTCTCAAAACTTTGCATTAAGATCCCTGAGGTGTAATATGGGTGAATGCAGTGATCAGTGTCACATACCTGCTCTTAAAATCACACTTGCCTGGTCATTGTGCACTAACATTGCTTTCTGTAAGAGCTGACCCTGAGCACTGGAATGCAGCACTGCAGGAATCTTCTTTTCCTTGTAAACCATATGGAAAATTGTAAAGTTTGTTACCAAGATGGCAGGAGTAAAGGCAATACTAGATCAGATTTGGCACAAGAGGAAACAACTAGTTTTTACTGAATGTGAACGTAGTGCATCTGATATCCTCCAGCTGCACATGAAGAAATGCTAAATACTGCAGCAATGTGACCCCCATTATGTGAAGAATATTTAAATATCCTGCCTTCTCTTTAACATGAGGCTAGAAGAAATGCCCAGGGGCAGAAACAATGCCAGACGGAGGAGGAGCAAATACTGGACAAATATTTGAATCAACTCATCATGCCTTTCCAAAGCAGCAGCTGGAAGCCAGGTGCGATACCACTCAGCCTCTGCAACGGCACAAGCTGATGTCTTAGGTTTCTCCTATCCAGTAATGGAATAGAAGTCCAAAGCTGCTACTAGGAGATGCCACACTAGCCTGTTGTAAATGGAAAGGGAGCCTCTGGGATTCAAAGCTTGGCCTTTGATGAGGAGCCTTGCAGGGCAGCAATGCACTCTCCCACGAGGCAAGCAGCTTCTTTGGCTGTGCCTCTGTGCACCGAAAAGCCACCTGCACCATGACCATAGTTGTGGACCACCAGGAGCTTAACTCCTCCTTGACTCAAGACCTCTCTCTGCAGTCTCACACACTGCCTGGATGGCCTCAAGCCCACCTTCACCTGAATGTCTTGAGCTCCCCGCAGTGAGGGCTCAAGGGAGCAGCATCTGTTAAAGATGTCTTTGGTAGTGCCAGGGTCAGGGGAGAGACTCCAGTTCCCCTTTTCCCTGGTTCCCCCCAGGGTTATCCTGTGTATGCCTGGGTAGATGTAAGTTAAGCCATCCCCATCCCGGATGAAGTTTTTCACCCAAGGAGCATGAACCTTGAGTACTTGTCCTCTGACAGGAAGGAGCTTCTTGTCCCCTACCAGCTGGTGGGCTCCAATGCCTGCACAGTTGACGACGATGTCATACTTGCTATGCAGCTCCCACAAGTCTGCAACTTTTCTGGTGTACATCTGGATGCCGGTTGCTTTCAACCTGCAAAAGACCACAGGAGTGAGGCAGAGAAGAAATCCCTAAACCCTCATGTAATGATTATGGACATTCAGTAAATGAGATAGATTGCCTTTAACACAGTGGTCAAAACCAAACAGGTTGGACAAAAGGCAAAAAAGAAAAAAAATGCTGTGAGGTTTCTGTATGATTTGATCTCATCAAAAGTATTTTTTAGCATACTTGGGCTGGAAAAGATGCATCTGGTTGATCAATATTAGACAAGGGTCTGGCATAAGACCCTAGGCAGACAGTCAGGTCCTCATGTTCAAGCCAAATTCCACCCTAAACTTGCCTGAAGCTTGAAGCCCTTCCCTATGGAAAAACATTGTCATGAGATGGAGCCCTGCATCCTGCCAGCTGGATCCAGTTGCTGGGGGTCTTTAGTGGGGGTACCAAGTAGGAGATGCTGTCCTTTGCAATAGTCTGGCAGCTGGCAAAGTGATCAACCCCACTATAAACCCACTGGTTTCCCTCAAAGCAGTGAGTTAGCAGAGGATCCAGGGCATGGCTGATGCTCTGAGGGTTTGTTTTGGCAAGGCACTGAGGCTGGCTGGGAAGAACAGGGGAGGTCTCATGCAGCAGCTCTGGCTGGGCAGCTTGCTGGGAGAGCTCGTAAGTGTTGTAATTGGGACTTTGTCATCATGACATAAAAAAATACACCGATAAAAAAACTGAAAACTCCTAAATTCAGGCAAGCAAGCAGGAAAAAATTCCTGAAGTCCATTTTTGGACCAGAAAGGTGGGCAAAGAGACAATTTTCCTTGTGGATTGCCAGGAGAATTGTCTATAAATACTGCTTGAGTCACTAGGGACTTGAGAATTAGTTACATGTTTAATATGCTCTCGCTTCTGATCACCAGGGAGAAGAGAAAGAAAAGGAGCTTGATCATCTTATTAGACTACATCTTTTGAGAATTAAATTGGCTACAGCAGGAATAAGGAGAGAGCAGAAGTCACGTGGCAGATACTAAATGCATTGTACAACTCAGTTGTACGTCAGCAGAAATTTCTGACTCAGTTAGGTAATGAAACATGATGGAGCATTTGCACCAAGGAGACAGCAAAGACCTCACATGGCACTGATGGCACTGAAGTACTCCCAGCCTGGCTGGCTGCTAGAACAGGACTCAGGTTTTCACATTTTGCAGTGAGATGAAAGGCATGCAAGAAGCCAGCTGAGCTGGCAATTTGTACCATGGTGTCAGTACACGTCTCTTCACTTAACCTCAAATCAGCTTGCAGCCTATTGCTTTCTCTCAAGAGGAGACAGCTATTGTCTCACTTTATGGGTACTTAAGTGAATTAAATGCACATGCCGGGTGTCAAAACCTTTTTAGATCTGCATCCTGACTTTCCTGTGGCTATCTAAAATCCACATATTTTGAGGAAACTTGGAAACTGGCAGATTTTCTAACTTTCATGTCAATCCAGGCATGAACTCTAAAGCCATGAACTCCTGAGAGTGAGGACATCAACCGTCTTATACAGGCAATCATTTCCAAAAGATTTGCTATAAGATGATACTATTTGACCATTTTTCACCTGACTGGATTAAGAAATTAGTTCAATTGTTGACCAAATTTGAGCTTAATTGGTCCATCTTACTTCTTAAGTGCAGGCTTCAGAGATAAGACATCTTTCTAGACATGCCCATTCTCCAGGGGTTGGACGTATCTTCAAGAACAGAGGGGTATTATTTGGGAAGTTTGACAAATGAGGAGCACCCACAAGTTTTCTTAGGAGATGGGAGGTGCCCAATGTACCTTCAAGGTCTGGCTGGCCAAGTGTGGCCCTGTGGTTGTGTCAGTCCTATGCCCAGAGGCACTCCTGCTCTAAGCCTGACTGCACAGCTACAGTGGTAGAAAGTGGACATTGCATAACTGGGGCCTTTCACATTTTGAAAACTCAGTTATTTATTTCTGGTGCTTCTCCCCAAGGGAGAACTTGCTGAATTTTCCCCAGTGAGAAACAGCCCTTTGCCAGTTTTGCTCAAACCTAAGGCTCTCAAGAAATCCCCAGCTTGCCCCCAGTCCCTCTGCCTCCATTTCTCTCCATGTGCCCATCCTGCAGCAAAACCAACCTTTTCTCCAGCCACAACAGGTAGGGTGGACAGTCACATTTCAGTGTTGTAAAGGCCTGACCAGATCGATGCTGTGGAAACTTTTGGAGTTCTGCTTTGGACATTGGTCGAAATGCCAGGACAACGTCCGACCAGAAAGGTAACTCTTCCTTGGGAGTGTTTTTAAAGACCTGCCACCTAAAAGGACACATGACAAAAGCTGCAAAATGTACTGCTATTGCTCTGCCATGTTATGTGTCACAGCAATCTCTGCACAAACCCAGAGATTCAGGAACCTGTTTCCCACTCATCAGAGTAGCTCAGCAAGCTTAACAGCAATAGGGAACATTGCTGCCTGCTACTGCAATACCTGCCTTGGCAAACAGGCAGAGGGCTGCCACAGCTGAGCTTGAGGGTGACACACCATGGTAAATGAACTGGAGAGAGTTCTTCCAGCTATACTGTATATACTTCCAGCTGTAGAACTATAAAGTCCCCTCACCATGGTTGCAGCCACCCTGTCTGGACCTGCACATAGGGTCACTTGCACACCTGGTCACAGCTTTTTGGGTACCCATAAAGCTACAGTGACCAGCCTCAACACTCCCAAGAGGCGAATTTCTGTACGTAATAGGCATTATTAAAAAAAAACAACCCAAAACACCCCCTGCAATTGCATTCGTATACCTAGCTGCTGAAGCTGGAAGATCATGCAGCCCCATCCCGATGGAGACCACCTATGCTGCAAGCAACCAGTGGATGACAGTATGGAAAACATCAGTTATTAAAAGACATTTGGTGCTGGCCAGTCTTGAGTGGTTTCTCTGTGTGCACCTATGAATGATTTTTGCTTCAAAATACATCATATCTGAGCAGCTGCAATTCAGTTTCTTGGGAATATGGTCATAAGAGTTACTCCATGAAGGGAATACCCCTGAAATCCGGCAAGGAAAACCTCTCTGCTCCAGCACACAGTATAGACATGCTAAAGGCTGCCCCAGGGGGCTGTTCTTACCCAGAAACCAGGTGAATGCCAGCCTCTGATGCCTCAGTTGAGTTGCCGATGGCAAAAAGGTAAGTAAAGGTTTCTTTGAACCACTGCTTCTGCACGTGGATCGGTGTGTCTGCAAGTAATCAAAACCAAACACACAGAGAGGAATAATGTAAAGAACAGAAACGTACAATCCAGTGTTGATGAACGCAGCTCATGGCACTCTTCTTCCTGAATCTCTGTGCATCTCTGCACATGTGGGCACACAGCAGCATGAGGTGCCATGAGCAGCACCACGCGGGGCTACACATACCTGGGTAGATGTGAGGGATGAGCATCCCAGCTGCAACATCACTTGTTGTGTTGGGGCTGAACTGCTCTGAAAGGATGGTCACAGAGCAGCTGGGATAAGTCTCCATGATGCACAGCGCTGTGGACAGGCCGATGACTCCCGCACCAACCACTGCGACCTTGGGTGCTGCCATCCCCAGGATGACGTGCCAGAGGAGAGAGGTACCTACCCTGCATTTGGAAATCACATATCCAGATTTTTGAGAAGTATTCCAATAGCCACTACCCCATCCTCAGCACAAGAGCAAAGGCAAGAGAACTATCTGTATGTACAGCACTGGTGTTTATGCACTAGCAATCCAGGGCAAGGTTTTTTCAATGTACCTGCGGGAGTGAGGCACTCATCAAGTTTTCTATAGTGTCAGAGGCAAAAGTTGGAGCTCTGGGGAAATTAGCTTTCAGGCACCAGGAGCAAAAGGGTTGTTTGAACATCAGGATCTCCAGCAATGAGGTTTGTCGCTGCCTGGGCAGTAGAAGCAAATTGCACAGGAGGCAAATTGGTTACACAGAGCAAAGAGTTCAGTGCATTGTGGATGATGTTTTTCTTAACATGCATCTTAGTTCCTCTGCTGTGCAGGGCTCCCCCTCTGACCCTGAGGACTGGGTTAGCGGCATAGGTCTGTCCTAGAATGTGTGAGTTTTAGCTAATAAACACAATGCATAGTTTCATGGGTACAGCCTGGCTGTTTACATTCCCACATATAAAACTTGCTTGAGCAATGATGCCTTGGTGGGAAAAGTGTGAGAAGAGAAGCTACCTGCACCCTGGGGGATTTTGTGCCCCTAGTAACCTGAGGTCTCCAACCTATCCTTGCCCCCCCGTACCTGCCAGTGTGACCCCCTGCCTTGGACAGATTTGTGGGCATCTGAGGCTGCCACTTTCCCAGCAGCACATGGTGATACCCAGGAGCCAGCCAGCCTTGCTGCCCCAAGAGCCTGTATATTTGCCTCTCTTTGCCTTATGTCCTGGAGCAGCTCCACTCTACTCCTCAGCATCTTCAACTGCTGATCGCTACTCGAGGGGGTGCAACATGTCTGCTTTCCCTAGTCCAGACCAAGTCTGGGAGCTTGGCACCTGTCCTAATGAGTGGCGCACATCTCCTGGTTGATAATCACCTGGCTGCCCATCCCAGAGAGGTGCCAGCCTATGTGCCTGGCCACAGCCACCCAACAGGTTTCACACCAGTGGAGACACGAAGCACAACTGAACTGTGCAGCTCAGTGCACCCTGCAAACTCCCTGAAGGCAGGAGCTAAATGTCCAAAAGAGACCAGGCAAGCTCAGAGGCAATAAATCCCTCAGCAGCTTTGAAACAGGTGATTTGGATACAGTTGCTGGCTCAGGTGCTCCTTCAAGGGGTCACTGTGAAAAGCTGAGCATGGATGCAGGGGGAGAATCTCTTTGGCCTATGGGTCTTATGTTTGCCTGGAGTATTCTACCAATATTCACTCTTGGAAAGGATGCTGAGTAAGACGGACCTTTGGTCTTGCCTCCTTATGGTGTTGATTCCTGTTATGGGACTCACTCACCCCTGACTGTAGAAATCCAGCCTTACTAATTGCTTTCCAAGAACTTTTCCTGGAAACCAGTGCCTGCAGTTTTAAGGACAGGCTGATTTCCCATCATCCTGTGGCTTTTGGTGTCTGATGTAAATTCAGGCAAGCAGACTGTGTAGGATTATGATAGGTCAGGTTTATTTATGAGATCCGTGCTCACAACTCTTCACACAGCTTCTCACTTACCCCTGAGGTTTTCCTACTTAAAATTTGATGGTCTACTATGTAGGAAGAGAGAGAGGAACAGGTATCACTGCCCATCATTGCCCATCTGCATCACAGCCAAGGGTTGTTACAACCCCTCTTCTTCCACTCAGGGCAAAGTTTAAGCTTCTTCCTGTTAATTATTACATCTTCTTTCATAGGCTGACTGTAAAAGTTTCCCCCACACAGTAGGAAAGAAGATGAAGAGCAGAGGTAGAATGTACCCTGAACCTGAACCAGAATCACTGGCCTGCATGGGTTGCCACTCACAAACCACATCTGAAAAAGGGCTGGGGCAAGGGGAAGAAGAAGGGGAAGAGGAAGGGGAAAGGAAGGGGAAAAGGAAGAGGAAGGGGAAAGGAAGGGGAAAAGGAAGGGAAAGAGAAGGGGAAGGGAAATGAAAGAGGAACAGAAAGGGGAAAGGAAAAGGAGATATTAGCAACAAGAAATGGGAAGGGTAATAATGATAAAAATACTTAGGAAAATTGGTTCTGAGAGAGGTCTCTAAACACACTTTTATTAACAAACCTTCTCACTCAGCCTTGGCAGCTGTGGAAATGGCATGCGGCTCTTAGCATGCCCAGTGAGCCTCCCAGCTGTTCATGGATGACCAGAGTCCTGCTTTTTCAGCCGCCCCTGGGACATATGTGACAGGTACATTACGCATCTGCAAGAGATGTGCTCTTCATTGCCACTCGCCACTCTTATTCGCAGAAGCCCTTGAATGGTGATGGAGATTGAATTTCCAGACTGACCCCACTGTTGCTGAGGGAGAGAGGGGAGCTGCAGCTCGGCAGAGGGTCAGGTTTCACAGGTCTTCCCAGTTTGGATGGGATTTTCAGTATCAACTGATCTCAATGTTGCAAAAGCCAGCTAGGGCGAGGAGGGGCTGCTGGTGGGTCTGCAGCGTGCAGGAATGGCTCAGAAGGCTGTTGAATTCACCATTTTTCAAGCACTTACTGCTGCAGTCCAGGAGCACATCAAGCCCTAATGTGTTAATGTGCCAAAAACTGACCGCTTGTAAAGCAGGAGCTACACACAGCTTGTATCAGCAAGTGCAGCTCAGGCTTTGCAGAGCCACTTACCTCTGCAGGTAACTGTCTGATGACCTGCAGGTAACCTCTGCAGGACTGTCCTGCACAGCCTGCCTCAGCTGGGAGCCTTGTACCTTCTGGGAGAGCACAGGAGGAGAAACGGTATTAAGCTGATGTGGCAGGGCAGCTTGATGCCAGTGAGGGTGACACCTCTTGCCCCCTCAGACTGGCTTGTGCTGAGGGGGTTGCAAAAATCAGTGTTTAAAAGGCTAATCAGTTGCAGTAGGTGTTGGGAAGGCAGGCAAAGGATGTCAGGTACTGCTTATCTCTGTCCTTGCTTAGTGTCAGAATGGGACAAAAGCCAGACAAAGCCACCCGGAGCTGTAATTCCCCAGCAAAGAGGACACCAGCTGCCTGACACAGGCTTCATGCCCCTGCTGCCCTCCTGCTCCTCCCAGAATGAATAGGTATTTTTTAAATTGCGATACTTTGTGATGTGACTTAATGATCCAACTCCTGCAACTGACAATGCTGACAATGTCAGCCTCACGTGATGCAAGCAGGTACTTACTCTTTTTTGCCTCACATAGCTGTATGTCATCACTGAGTGCCAGCAGCCTTCAGCCTTATAACATCATTCTAGCAGTGGATAGATCAGTATGGATAAATACACTGGTCAACAGCACACATACATGCACACACAAATCTGGAGAGGGCCTTTTAACAAGGGCATGTAGGTATAAGCTGAGGAGGAATGGCTTTAAACTGACAGCATGTAGACTGAAATAAGGTATTAGGAATAAGTTCTTTGCTGTGAGGGTGGTGAGACACTGGCAGAGGTTGCCCATAGAAGCTGTGGCTGCCCCATCTCTGGCAGTGTTCAAGGCCAGGTTGGACAGGGCCTGGAGCAACCTGGTCAAGTGGAAGCTGTCCTGGCAGGGTGGTTGGAACCAAGGTCTCTTCAAACCCAACCCATTCTATGATTCTGTGATTTTATTACACACAGAGAAACATGCACACCCACTGCCAGCTGCAGCTGTAGCCTCTTGGCCCTTGGTCCCTCCAGGCTGTAACAGACTTTGGGATACTGGCATCCCTCAGCTGGAAGAACTGCATAAATGCTCTCACTTTGGCATCACTGCATTACAGACAGAGCGGCTCACCATGCCCTTTTCTCCCTATGGCTCAACTCCACATGCATGCTTCTCTGGCAGGCTGGATACTCTTAGCTTGTGTTGCAACCTGGCTGACCTACTAAGCAAAGCATTTTACACATGCAAATAAGCAGCTGAAAAAAAACCAATTCAACTGTTGACCAGAAAATGGGTAAACAGGAAGTCACCAAAACATGTTACATTTGAAGCCCTGTAGGGACTGGGTTTTTTATTGACTCTCACTATATAGAAGTGATGAAACATTGCTTGGATCTCCTGAAGCTTACAATACCCCCGGAGCAAAGGCTCCAGCCTTTCTGAACTACCATAGAGGGCTCCTTATCCACCAAGGCTGCTGCACCAACTGACCCTGTCCATGTCTAACGTGGAACACTTTATCCCTTCCTTTTTTTTTTTGCAGTTCACACTTTTGCTTATTCACTTCCCTTGTTTATAAGCTCCTGCAGTGTTGTATCCTTTTGCCTGACCCCAGAGTGGGGCTCTGTCAGGCTCTTTGCTAAAGGTAGTTAGAGATGCTCGTGAAGCTTGAGCCATTCTTAAGTTTGCTAAGGAGGTGGCCCCAGTTTTGGCTTTTGACTCTGACCTGGTCTCTCTTCCATCATCTGGGCTGCTTTGTGAGATGTACATTTGGGACCTGCCACAGGAAGAAGGCGAGGGTGCGCTCTCTTCACCGAACAACTCTGGAAACTCCTTGTGATCCCCTCAGCCTTTCTGCACACACAGCACCACTGCCAGAAAGCAGGAGTCTGATCCACTATCACAGGAAACCCGAGGGCTCTCAGGGAGGCCTCAGCTCCTCTTTCAGATAGGTGTTCCCCTATGCATGCACAAAAAACACCTCTTAAAGGAGCGTAGGTTACACCCACCCTATGAGCCACCAGCAATAGTAACCTCCACTTGCAGCACCTGCACGCAGAGCAATGCGCTGGCTCTTCTCCAAACCCAGGGAGGTCTGCAACCCTCCTTCCCTGCAGGGAGCTGCTGAGCCTGCTGCCTCTCTGTGCGGGGAGAGGGGAAGCAGGGAGGAGGTTTGGCAGGCCCCTGGCTCCCCCGGGGGGGACGGGGGCCAGGGTAAGGCAGAGCAGCCCCAGCCAAACCCTGCGGCTCGCCGCTCACGCCACAGCCACCCGTGACAGCCACCGCGTTCATACTGCGCAGCTGCCCCTGTCTGTGGCCTGAAGCTCTCCCTTCCTGAGCTGACAGGGGGTTTGTGCCAGGTCCCTGTGCAGGCCCCCCCCGGCCACCTTCCCCGGCCAAGAAGGGCTCCGTTATCTAACATTTCCCTCTTCGACTGGAAGTAGTTCCAAAAAAAACCCCACCAAAACAGCACAAACAAGTGGGCAGAGAAGGCAATACCTGGTGAGGAGGAGGCCCCCGTCCCGCTGCAAGAGACACCTTCCCGGGAAGTGCGGGGGAGTAGGAGAGCACGGAGCGCGTTGCCGGGGAGGAGGCTGGGGGGCTGTTGGCAGCTCCCTTTCCCTGGTGGCTTCCCGAGCCCCCAGCTCCCCGTCCCTCTGCTAATGAAGGAGCTGTTTGTGCCCAGGCAAAGGCCACGTCCAGCGCTGGCACCTCTCCCGGAGCGCCCGGCCGCCGCGCGTTGGCGCTGACGAAGCTTTGCCGTACGCGGCCTGCTGGTACCTTTTTTCCTGGGTGATTTCCCCCGTGCAGCGGTGCAGCGCTGCTGCTGTCCTGCACGGAACACGTTGTCCTTTTAACTCTCCTGCGAGCAATTAACTGTGTTCTGAAGCTGTCCCAAGATTGCCACAATGCTTGTGCAATCGTGCTAGCAGTGAGGATGGCAGCAACACGAGCGTGTCCCTGGGGCCAACCATTTCAGTCATCACAGGTCAATGAAGAATGAGTCCCTGCTAAACCGCAAATGCCGAACGAGCACAGCCAGGCGGGGCTGTTTGGATTAAACTTTTCAGCAGAAAAACACAAATTTGTCAAAAGCAAACCTGTCTGGAGGATCACTGGGATGAAATCGTAGGCCAGGGCTTCCTGGCTCCAGGGCATTTGCCATTAGCAGGACATTTTGGCTAATATTTGACAGCCTGAGCTTTTGTCCCTAAGCAGGCTCAGCAAGGCAGTGTTTGCAGACCATTTCCCTCCCTGACGCTGCCCAACAGCATTTGTCATGGAACTTCCTATTCTTCATAGCCTTTTAAATACGGAACAGTAGCCATCCGAAGGGCATCTGTACGTGCAGCAGCATCATGCAAAGCATGTGGCCAGCTGATCACCTTATTCAAAACGGCTTTTCTTTCTCATCACTGGCACTGAGACTGTGGAGAGAATCTTCACAAGAATCTCCCCTGGGTGCTGGTTTTGTCTTATTCCTGTGCAAGTCAGTTATCTTTACATGGAACATAATAAGGCAATGTTAATAATTAGGTGCCTGTAAGCACTCCATAGCTGGATCCTGCTCATCCGCAACAAGCAGCCAAGCAGCATTTCCCATTGCTTCCAATTACTCATAAACCTAGGTTAGTAATTTCTTTGAAAGAGCTGATTTTGTGTACAAACCTCTCTGCAATCATTTTTATGTATCAATCATATTGAAAAAAGCATGCCTCTCCATTTGAGGTATATACCTCAATCTCAGCTTGATTGAACTTGATGCTTCTGAAATCAGTATATCAGGGAGGATTCAAATATCTCAACTTGAGCAAATATTTGAACAATTCCCTATGGTCACTTTCAGGGAGAAACGTAAATCACCTGGCAAGGGCATACAGAGTCATTAAAACACAAATGATTAAACCAATTGATGGGTGTAACTTGATCAGAAAACATAACATTAATAAAATATGCATGGAAAAAATAATTTGCACTAATGAGAGGCTTAACGGAAGTGGAAGATAAATAGGTTCCTGAAATCAGCTAAGGGGACAAATCACAAACAGGCCTGTAAATTGCTGCAATTCTCATTTTCCTTGCACTGTCCCCCCACTCCAGTTCCTGTGTGACAGTTACAGTAAGTTTTCACATGCACTGAAGACCGAGTGGTTACAAGTTACATTGTTTTCAGTCCTGCAGTTACCTACTCTCTCTTCTGATCAACTCATACCCATTCTACACTATCTGCAGCTATTTTTGTCAGTACTGACTGTGTCTGAGGGACTACTGTCCCAGTCAGCTTATACAAATATAGGTAAAAAAGAATCATATTCTTCCTGAAACTGAAATCCAAAACATGTGATGTTTTATTGCACATTTTGTCATAGTCGCCACCTAACACATTACCCAAACCTTCATTTACACCTGCAAACACAAACAGGGAAAAGACACACACGATACCTGTCAGCCTAAACCATGGGCTCTTCATGGAAGGCTGAAGCCCCAGCCCAGGTCTTGCAAGGGAACATGTACCAAACGTGGAGCTGCTGATAACAGTTCATTAAATTTCATAAAAGTGTTAAGATTAAATAACGTGTGTTTGACTTTATTCTTGCACATAATTGCAGATAATAAACACACATTAAAAAAGAACATATGTTGAATTAAATCCATGTATTCTGGGCAAACAAAAGCCTTCCTATGAGCACATACTTCCTCCACGTTACCAAAATGCACACAGCACCTGGTACAGACTCTTGTACAAAATTATTAGATTACCAGAGCATAGATTAGACCTCATAGCAGCCTTCCAGTGTCTGAAGGGGGCCTATAGGGATGCTGAGGAGGGACTCTTCATTAGGGACTGTAGTGATAGGACAAGGGGTAATGGGTTCAAACTTAAACAGGGGAAGTTTAGATTGGATATAAGGAGGAAATTCTTTCCTGTTAGGGTGGTGAGGCACAGGAATAGGTTGCCCAGGGAGGTTGTGAATGCTCCATCCTTGGCAGTGTTCAAGACCAGGTTGGACGAGGCCTTGGGTGAGATGGTTTAGTGTGAGGTGTCCCTGCCCATGGCAGGGGGTTGGAACTTGATGATCTTAAGGTCCTTTCCAGCCCTAACTATTCTATGATTCTATGTGCTTTAATCTTTCTTCATATGAGATGCAACAATGCAGATAATGCTTGACTGCATTATTAGAATTTTTCTGGACAGAATAAAATTGTTCTTTTGTCAACACTCTTAAAAAAAAAATAAAATAATCTTTGCGTTTAATTTGTTCCCTACAAATCTGTTCTGAGATTGAGACAAGCATCTTTAAGATGTTTGTAAAAGGCATAGGAGGAATCCAGACCCTCCTGTTTGCAGCCACAAATGCCTTTTGGCATCATGCTTACGTGCCTTTTATAAGCCCTTACGAAAGACACTCACAGGCTTTGCGTGTTGATGAGCCCAATGCTGTGGAGGCTTCCTAAGTGACTGCACCTAAGAAGCTGGCAAAAATAAGCTATGGAAGATGCAGGAGAATGTCAATGAGTCCTCCACTCCATCTGGGATATGAGACCATCTTGTTTCCACAGAGCCATTACACAAAAGCCCTCAGCCTTCAGGCAGGATTCACCCCCTTGTTCAAACATTCGGGGCACCACCCAAAACATTTTACAGATTGCACAAAGTTTGCATAGCTTTCTTTTTTTTTTACATTGATGTTTAAACTATAGAAATTTGCACAAAGAAATTTAAGTGAGCTGTTGTTAAAGTAGAAAATACATCTTATCAGTTTCAAAATACAGATTCAAAATATCAAACACATTTACTCATTATTTTTCCTTAGTTATCATTAAACCAATGATAACTGCCTTCATTCCTATATTTAACCCAGAAAGTATGTCCTTAACAAACTGCAAGACTGTCTAATAAAACATGATATGAAATTTAGGACAAAACCATTTGTCATTGTGCAGTCGTGACCAGCAATTAAGATGGGTAGGAATTCCAGTCTATCTAATCTACCTCATAAACCATTATGTAACCCCCGAGACATTGATCAGCACAATTTGCACTAAGATAGAGATGGGAAATGCAAACATAAAGGAACTTAAGGACTCAGATAAGAAACTCTGAAAAGTAATTCTTTTCATGAGCAACAACAGTTAAATATACCCCACAGAGACAGAAGCCTTCTCAAACTCAATGTCCTTTTATGAGAGATTTAGATAATCTATGAATATTTAAAAGAAAGACATCAACTCACCTTGTCAACACTACATTTATAATGTGTAACTAGTGTTAAACATATTTTTGTCCATATGGAAAAAACAAGCAAACAGAAATGCTAGAGACATATAGACACATGCTATTTCCTTCTCTACAGTAATATGCTTTCTCAGGTTAAAGAATAGGATAACCCGAGGCATCCTTTAAGCTATTCATGCATAAAATCACAAAAGGTGTACCTGTGGATCAATAAAAATTTTATTTCTAGGGCAAAAAGTAACATCATTAGTTCAGTGAAATCCAGATCTAATTTGAATCAAAGACCAAGTACCAACTGACTTCAGTGACAGGAGGAACTGACTTTTGGGATTAAAAGTTATCAAACTACATTGTAATTTAGAATAATCATTAGATTTTAGCTGGTAAGCATTGCTCAGTATCACTGGTTCATGTAAGTTTTTGCTTTCTTCTTTATTTTCTTTATGTATACCAGTAACAGATTACTAGGTCCTGAATCCCTCAAGTCAAAGGAACACAGAACATGCACTGTCTGTTCTTAGTAGGGTAACTCCCAGATCAGTTATTCAGCAGGTAAGGAAGTAGAAAAATTAATTTTAATAGTTCCTTAGTACCTTGCTAAAAGCAGACTTACTGTCCCCTGCACTTAAGACTAAGGAGTTTAAGATAGGACCTTGTACTAATAAAAGAGGGAGTTATCAGTGTGGAAAAAAACCAAAATAATGCAATTACTTGGAGCTGTCAAGGGGCAGGGTGGTTGCAATGCCAGACAGTACCAATTCAATTCCTTGTTAGGTGTATCGCATGACATTTTCCCTTAGCACGGTTAAACCCTTGTTTAAGGCAGAGCATGCAGGGTTAGCCAAAGGATCTTGCAGATAAGGAGAGTTCTGCTCTGTGAACTGGAGGGGCATATGAAAGCAGTGGAAGAATACTAGGTCTGCTCTTCAGCAAAACAAAAACCCACAGCATGTGAGTAATTGTATCTTCACTCATAAAAGTATGTATTCAAGTCATTATCTGAATAAAGATGTGGTTACTCATGCGGGTAAGGTTAAGTACATGCTTTTGCTGAACTAATATATTTGGACAGAAACCACAGTATTCTATGCCATTCTCTTTAGAGGTTTTCTCTGCAAATACTGGAACACCCACACAATTGAAGGAAACATGAAGATTCCTTTCTGCTTTCCATGTAATTATTACACAGAAACTCCCTGAACTTAAACTTACTGTTTTTTGCTTTGAAGCATTTTACTCCTAATATAGGAGATGATTTTGTCCTAACACCAGGACCAAAATGCTATTTGACGCTCTAGGACAATGCAGTGAAGAAAATAAAAATCTTTTATAAGGGGATATAAATCATTATTCTGGTTTCAGAAGTAATTGGAACTAATTTGACTGTGCAGATAGAATTGAAAAATGTGGCCACTAATCTCTACAGCATATAGAATATCTATCTACAGTAATACAGATGTCTGATTTTGGGGTAGATGGCAAAGAAGTAAACAAGGATAACTTGTTTTGATGAAATTGTACCAGCTAGTGTAAGGGTATGTGCCTAAGATGAGAAAAACTCTCATTTCAAACCAGGGATGACAGGGTTCACACAGCTCAAGCAAGAGAGAGCTGTCTGAACCTCAACATGCAGAAGTTTCTTCTGATGCTCCTCTCAAGCCAAGGGTGGCCAAGCAAAGAGGATACGGATACTCAGGCAAGCAAGAAACGCCCAGGTCTGGAGGTAGACTGAAAAAGGGGAGGTGGGACAGAAAGCCATAAAAGTAGCATGCATTCGTATTTACCAGTTTTCTGTGGTCCACAGTTGTAAGGCAGAATCACCACACCAGCCAGTAAGTGTTGATCTACACATGAGGTGTAGATCAACAGTGGGACATTTACAGACACCGACTAAAACTACAAGAGTGACTGGTACCTTCTGTTTGTGTTGATCAGTGTCCTCCAGCTAGCATTTTTAAAATTGTATTTTTCTAACTGATTTTGTGTAGTACAAGGAAAAAATGAGCTAAAGACAGCTGATCTATGAGGAAAATGGTGTAGATACCATCTCTACTAAGAAGTCTACCTCTGTGCAGAGAGCCTGAATGAGACCCATTTTTCTAAACCACTAATAAAAATACATTTCCCATTCAACAGAATGAATATACAAACTATTTGCACATTTTGCAAACTTAGTATTATTTTTTCAGTCTGAAGCTGTTCCACAGAATACTTTCCTTTATTAGTAATGGCACCTTTTCTAGTAGAAAACGGGGGGGGGGGGGGAAGAATAATAAATTAGTTTAACTTTAAAATTATTGATATGACTAATGCAGCATTAGGGCTCCTGTCTTGAATCACAACTGTCTGAGTTTACTGTGTGTTGAAGTCTTAAGCCTGTAACTGTCAGCTGCAATAGGATGAGAGTGGACAGGGCACTTTGTGGTGGTTTTGCAAATCTAACAGCAGAAAACGTGAAGCAAAGAATTGGCATATTTTTTACCTATGTGTAATCAGGTATGTTGCAACATTTGCAGTAATCATTCCAACTCTCCACAGCAAGTCAGAAGGTTTTCTAAAGTCTGGGTAAGTTTCTAAAGTCTGGGTAAGGAACTATAAATCCTATCAAAGTTTATGCAGTACCTCAGTCGCAAAGGTCTTATATGCTTGCTCTAATGAAAAGGCAAGACGGGAAACAAAGTAAAAGGCACAGATATTATAGTACAGTAACATTTCTTGAATAAAAAGATCTTATAAATTAGATAATGATTAAAATTGGGAACAGCCATTTTGCTGTTGCTTTATTTCTCAGTGCTGACTGTTTTCTTGACCAAACATCTCTATCTTTTCTAATGGTGCACCACTACGTGCTGGAGGAGTCTTTTCTGAACAGCTTTTCTTGTTTCTTCCAATTTCTGTAGCTTCCACCAAAGTATTAGTCAATGGTTTTCCCAGTGTTTCTGGAAGCATTATTGTTAATATTCCACTCAGAAGAGCCATGATCCCAACAAGCAACTAGAAGAAATAAACAGTAGCTGTAAAGGTAGAAATGTCTTTCAAGTTATGCATATCTTCAGTCTTGCTTGAGAGTATGTTTAGATTAAGCACAAAGAGCTGTAATTTAAAGCAAAGACTAAGTCTTAAATGTTGGTGGTATAAAAGATCTCCCTTTTTGTTGCATAAATGAAAGATTATGCAGCAGAACTAACGAGGAGCAAGTGAAGTGTTTTGTTCACAAGAGATCAATACAGCACAAGGAGGAATCATTTTGAGAAAACAATACATATATCTTAATCTGGTATTTCTACTATCAGGTATGTATTTAAGAACTGATTCTAGGATTTCATACATTTATTTTTACATACATGCTCACAGAGGTACAATTTCCCTGCCACCTGTAATCTCAATCCATACTCCAGCTCCTGAACCTATTCCTCCTGTACCTGTGTGTGTGTTCCGCCTGCACACAGCCAGATCAGAATTCTGCAGTATGGCTTGTTTGCCTGATGTTGCACAAAAGTGTACTTCTCTGCTCTGGAGAGCTCTTCAGCAGATAATGAGCTAGCTCTCAACAGGAACATTTTGCTAAAATCAGTTTCAAAGAGCTGTTAAGGGTGCAGGCATTAACTGAAATTTGCAGTGGGATCATATCTTGGATTTGTCCATGGTGTACACTGCTCCATAACAACAGCTTACTTCAGCATGAGTGGTGCAGGGATCAGGATTATGTGGGGTAGATACAGAAGCACACACATGCTCTAGGCGTATCTTTCCTTTCCCTTAATTTCTGTGACTTGTTCAATGAGAACAATTCCCATTTCCCTCCTTTGAATACAGAACATTAAAACTCTGACATTCTTCCAACATTAGGTTATAAATGACCCAAATCTCTCTTGATAGAAAAACTTCTGCACAGCACATCAGGCCTGGCCTCAGTGTTTTTCCATTTTATGACTGTGCACTTTGATGCTGTATTATCCTTGTCTTGCCCTATGCTGATTCTCAGGTCTGTCCTCTTTGTTTAATGCTTTCTTTCCAAGTGTGAGAGAGAACATTTGGAATCACTATGCCTCTGTCTCTCACACACAGCTTGAGACTGTGTGTGAGAGACACAGAACTGGCCAGCTACCATCTGCAGTTAAGCCAGACTTTCTCTTTAAGTCAGAAAGGTGCTTTAAAATAGAAGTTCTCCATTGTAGCCTTGAGCTGTGCTATTTTCATGCACATGCACCATGCTGCTTTTGCTTCCCCTCCCCTCTGACAGAAGAGGACAACTTATCTTAAGCAGAAGCAGAAACTTTTAAAAAACAGAAGCCACACTGTTGCATACAGTCCTCTATTAAATATAGAGGCTGACAAAATACAAAAGAAAGCAAAATACTGTCAAATACTACAAACTACAGTGGAAATGAAATAGTCATGCTTTTACCATGAAAAATAAACTTTAAAAAATCCTAGCAGTAATATGACCATTGGAAGTGGCAATGAGTGACAAACTGAAGGAAATCCTTGTAGACATAGATACGTGGCAGAAGTGATCTTTAAAAATTAATTCCAAAATATTAAGGTCTCACCTCTGAGTGTTAAAACTCTTCACTATCAAGATGTGATTTTCTGTCATGGTAAGACAGGATAAATTGACACATAGCAGCTATTCCACAGTAACCTTTCTTATAGATATCCTTTAGGCTGTTGTAAGTTTATATTTGAGGATATTAAGGGCTGTAAAGGATATTGAAGCTTATGGACACTCATACAGTTGGAGTTTAGGAGAACTGGGTCACTACTGATTGCCAGCTGAACACGGTTAAAGCAACCCTGTGTGCTTCAAGTATGTGCGTCTTCTCTGTTTTGGTTAGTCTTTTAGACACTTTGCATTCTTTTCATGTTTTCCTTCCTCATGAACCTAACTTTTATTGCCCTGTGAACTCCCACTATTTGGTAAGCGTAAACACCACCAGCTTTCCTGCCTTTTCATCTCAACTCTCTTAACTCAACTTCATCACGTGCTAGTTTTCTTTCTTTTTCAATGGGAAAACTACTGCATGCTGACTAATTCAGTGTATTTTCCTTCTCCCTCACTCTACAAAGCATTTTCCAAACTTTCCTACAAAAAAGAGACTATAAGACAAGTCACACTGTATTAACAAAAGGACTTCTCAAATGTCATCTACCTTTTCAGGGTCAGTAATCACACTTACCAATGAAGTTACTCACATTTAGTCAAAACAAGTCTGAAATCTTATCTTGGCATACTTCTTCATGAAGCATCTGACATAATTTAGCCCTTTGCTTGCTCATAAAAAAAGTGTACATTTTGTATTTATGTACTATTTTATATATATAATTTAGCATCAGAAAATCTTCTTCTGATATAATCAATGAGTTAAATGCTTATGGATTAAGATATTGCACAAAATATTTAAGTATGTTTAAGGTCCATTGAAGTTAATTTGACAGAAGTACCTGCTTAAATTCATTGCTTTTTCAGGGTCTTAATTTGAAATCTGACTTTCTGCTTAGTCAAATTCTTAGAGTATTCCCAGCATTTCAGTACAGCCAGCAGCTTCTAACAGCTGCCATGAAAAACTTCAAAATAAGGTTTACCACCGTTTTTCATATGTCCTCCCTATGTGGAGCAACAGTTTTAACTTCACAGTGGTCTAAGATCAGGACTTAATACATTTAGTCTAGAACAAAGATAATTTGAATTAAATATCCCTACAAAATAATACTTTTACTTCAGAGAGCAAATGATTATTCTAGTCTGCTGTTCATATTTATATCCACATCTGATGGCTCTGAACTAATCTAGATATGATCTTATTCACAAAATTCCTATTTCAACATAAAAAGGTTAAATTTTGTCCTGAAAATCAAAGACAAAGGATTTGCATTCATTTACTTTACTGACCTCAGCAGTTTTTTTTAATTTATAATTTATAGTTTATCTGAGAGAAAAATCAAGCCTTTTAAAAGGTGACTGTAACATAATTCTTAACAGCTTAGAAACAGAAATAGGCTATACATAGAGCAGCTGCTTTACTGTAAGTTTTCTAGAAAGTTGTCACATGAAAAACATACTTGGCAAATTACTCTAGATTTATAGACATTCAGATGAGATGCTCGCATTATTCACAGGTGGCATAACCGTACATGAGACAGACTGTCTAGCAAATGGCAGTAGTAACTGCTTGACAATGTGTGGTGTATGCAACAGATCAACACAATGTATATCAGTTTACTTACAAATGTAATCCATTTGATTTCATTTCCATTCCAAAACACTTATGTAACCTGAGACTTGCCACACTATGCTCCAACTCAAGGCAAGCCTATTTAATAGACTGAAAAAAGTTTTATAATAGGAGTTAATAATGAAAACATACTCACTGTGAACTATTACACAACTCTACAAATACTCTGATAGTTTTTGTACACTGAGAATTGTTCATAGCTGAAATAATCCTTTGTTTATACTGCTATTTGCACTGCTCTCCAGCATGTTTGAGCATTTCCCCATCTGTGGTTTAACTGCAGCGCTTCTGCACAGATAAAGCTTATCTCAGCCAGTAAAGGCAAAACACTGACAACAGAAAAAGAATGCTCTCCCTTGACCACTCTGTTGTGCAAATGTTTCTTTGTCTTTCCTGGGATGATATCTTGGCTTGTAGAGGAGCTTGAGGGAATAAATTAATTTGTGGTTTCCTTCATCCTCTTAATTTTAATCCAAAACAACTGAAAGTAATTAGTTTAAATAATGGAACGAGTTCCCAAGAATTATCTGAAACCAATCTCTAGCATCTGTAATTGAAGATTTTATAGTTGCAAAATCAAAGGAATACAATTCCACTTTTTCAGGAAATTCCAAACTGGTAAACAAAATTCGAGTAAGATTAAAGACACATCCTGTTACATTTTCACCTTCTGATATGAAGACAAAACCTAATGGTAGCATGACCTGGAGTTACCTACAAATAGGGTGTGCTTAATGAATCTAAGGTTCTGTTGCTTGTCAAAGTCACCATGAACCTCATCGATGTACAATTTGCTTCTCTTTTTCTATTTTATGAACTGTTTTGTTCAGTTCTTGTAAATGAAAAACACAAAAAGGAAGCTTTGGGTCATCTCTGAAGACTAAGTATAGTAAGCATAAGATATTCTTGATCTTTTGGAAGGCTATTGCAAGGATGCAATGAAAAAACAGCCACCCATGGTGAATTCCAGAATGGAAGAACCATGCCTTTGAAAAAAGGTTACAATAAATCAGAAGCACGGTCCAGAACTTCTAGGCCTGCAAAGTAAATAATTACAGACTAAGACGCTTCCCAAATGTTATATAGTAGATGAAGTATATTTTTATGGAAAGTATTTTTAGCAATTTTATACTAGGATTCAGTGCATAAGCATTTTTATGTTTTCCATTTCAACAGATTTCAGTGACTCAAAGTTTCCCTTCTGCTTTAGCTGCATATTTTTAACAATATGAAGTTACTAATCTTTGAGACTTAAAATTTTTAACAGGAATGGTTCACTCAATTTCCTTTTCAAGATACAAGTTCAGCTTTTGGTTCCTGAAATTTTCAGGATGCATTTTCAAAACCAGAAATGTTCACCATTGAAATAAATACTTACAAGTGGCATGAAAATCCAGACACTTCTCAGATATACACAGAAAGGAGCAACCACACTTCCTACACGACACATCATGCTTCCACTTCCAACAGCAAGTGATCTATACATAAAACAAAGACTTTGATAAAACTTCTGGCAGATAAAGGAAACAATTAGAAATGCACAGCCACTTAAAACATCAGTAAAATGTCCATGTGTCTTTAAGCAATTACACCAGGAGGCTGTTGCTACACTGATGTAAATTTATATTGTAGCAAAATTCAGCTGCTTCTATAATTAAGATTAAAACCAGAATCATCATTCAGCATCGACCACAGGACTACGTAAGAAACCAGGAATTGTAAGAAAGGCATAAATAATGCTTAAGAAACTACTGTTCTTCTAGTTCCCATTGAGTATTCTTCTACTTCTGCAGTGAAATCAATCAATGCACATGGTATGAAAACTGAGTCAAAATTTATGGTACAGCCAAGCCCTAGGCATCTCTGAAGCAGCCAAGGAACTCATCCCATCCCAAATCTTTCAGACCACTGCCACTGATGCCAAGAGCTGCTTGATCTAGCACAAGAGCATAACAATGGAAAGGAAGTAAGAGCAAAGTAATAAAAAATACATAACTGGCAAAAGTTCTTACCTTACAATTGTTGGGTATAGTTCTGCTGTGTAGAGATATATAAGGCCAAATGCCACACCTATTGAAAATTTTCCAGCCATATTTGCCAAGATAATTAATATATTGAATTCCTATTGAAAGAGAGCACAATTAAATAAATCTCCAGAAAATAACAGTTCCAAACTTCATTTAAATCCTTCAAAAGTTGTGATCCTTCTTTAAACAAGCAGTAACAGTGAAGCCTGCACTGAAAATACAAAAATCTATCTTAGATTGATAGCTGCAATTTAAAAACCACTTTTAATCAGCTACATGCTTCAGAAAGAGCAGCTGCCATCTACAGACAAGAGCCTTTAAAATCAATTTTGACTATAGGAACACTTTCAACAATACATGACTAACCTGAGGTATGAACATAATTAAAACACAGATCAGTGCACTTAAAATAAGGAACGGAATGAGTGTGTTTCTCCTTCCCAGTTTGTCCATCCCAATGCAAGCAATGACATAGCAAGGCAACTCCACAGCACCTGTCAGGATGAAATTATTTTAAGTCATGATTACACACATTCATGTTATAACTCTAACTTCCTCTTTATGAGGATTAGTTTAATCTAGAGGGTAATAAATAAGTGAAATCTAGAGATAAGCAGTGTGTTGGGCTAGTTCATTTGTTAACAGAAATGGCAGCAGAAGGCAGAAAACATGGCCTAAAATACGGTAGGAGGGGATAGAGGACAAGGGAAATGGGTTTCACAATGCAGACCAGCTCTGTTTCTCTTTCAGGTGGAAAATTACACAAACCAGCAAGGCCATGACCCTGGCACTTGTGACTGAAAGCTCTCTATTTGCTGCTCTTCTGCTTCAGGTATTTTCACATCAACAGCTTAGGTACCCCCCAAAGAACACTGCCAGTATTGCACTGACATACCTCTCAGGATTTGCCAGCTTCCACCTGGACATAGAACTAAAGGCACAGCTGCATCCCCCAGCTTCAGCCCAGAATCACCCCAACATATAAGTCAAGCAAGGTCTCTCCAGGTCCAGTTTTTGAGTCCATTAAAAAGAGGGCAGTTGCTTACAATATCCCACTCTTACTCAGATCATCTCTTCCTAATGTCTCTTTCCAGAGAAAAACTTCTGCAGCTCTAAAGGAACTGGGGTTTCTTACCTTTAAATGAACAGGCTACAACTGTTCACAAACCATGCGTAAACATGATTTGCACCTAGACAAATTATATTGAACCTAAGCCAGTTCAGACATGTCTTAAACCCAACTTGCTTGTGAAGAACGCTACTATGCCCAGTGTAAAATCAAGGGAGAATGTAAGATACAGCCCTGAACAAATATGTTGCACCCCTTCACTAAGCACATGTAATATGTCAATACATCTATAATAGCAGGAAACTATTTTGATCTTGTGTTGGTAAAAGCAGGTTGTAATTATTCTGTGTTTGTTAGTCTGCTAAAATATTTTTGGAAGAGGTGGATATGGTGATTTACGCGCTGTACCCCACCATGACAGTTTACTTATCTGTGCAATATTAGCATCCTCTCTTCAACATATCAACCTATGAATATGCTATCATACATGACAACACAAACTGAATTCAGGAGAGACCAGTCCTTCTGTGTGTGTATGTGCAGGAAACGGTCGTGTTCACTCTACTGATGTGAATTCACTCTACTGAGTGAATGTTGCATAAAGCAAAGCACATGATTCAGTTCTTCACTGGCTCAGAGCTGCGTGCCTGATCTAGAAGTCAATGGAATATTTCCACTGATCTTAACAAGCTTTGGGTCAGGCCTTTGATACACTGAGCTGCCTTTATAAACAATTTATGTACCAGAGGAAGACTATAGCCAGGCTGTAATTAAAATTAAAAGAATACTACAACTAAATTAAAAATACACTTTTGAGACAAATAAAGTTACTCTTGCTTCCGAGAATTATGAAATTATTTTCTACACAGTCATAAAATATCATGATTATAAGTGATTAAAATTTTTTTTTTCTCTCATTTTCCTAGTTTGTGCCTTTAACAGAGCCATATACATTTTGTGTTGCTGGACTGCTTCCCTTGGTGTTTGTGTAGATCTGCTATATGCTTGCAGGGCAAAGAGGAGACAAGAAGAATATGGTTTTACAAGCAAAGACAGATGGAGAAGAATTTTGTATACCAAAAAATTTTAAATTCTCTTTTTTTTTTTTTTTTCCAGAAACAGTAATATTTGGAGTGAATGGCATTTCTGCGTTAGTCAACTTTCTGAAAAGTTAGCAAGAAACTTTTTGAAGAGGGTTCATAATTGAATGAAAACAGTTTTAAAATTGGCTGTCAAATCTATAGACGTTTCTAAATGTTATGTTCTAGTTCTGTCATCAACAGAATAAGGTACAAAAATATTTACCTATGAGAAAGAGATTTAAATATTCATTGCCTCCTAGACTGACAGAACTGAGGGAGAAGACGTAGTACCCCAAGCTCCCAGTGAACCAGATCAGCCAGACTGTGATGGTCCTTCTTGCAATGTGCCAGTTACAAAACAGGTCTAAGATGTTGTGCTTCTTTGTTGAGGATGTGTCACTGTCACCCATTCTGCCACTCACTAGATCATCTTGTTGGACAGAGTAGAGTTCAGAAACTTTGCAGGGAGTGCTTACTTTATTCCATCTTGCCATTATATGAATTACTTTTTGTGCATCTTCGTATCTTTCCTTTGACAGGAGCCAAAAAGGTGTTTCTGGGAGCATCCAGCAGCACAAGATAAAGGGAAGAGTTGCTATGGAGAGAAATATCTGATAGACCCACCAGGTCTGAACCAAAAATCCCACGAGTGCCACAACCATAATTCCCATAGCAAAAAAAGCATGGACATGCATAGAAGCCCAGGTTCGTGCTTTAATGCCAACAAATTCAGTCACATAAACAAAAGCCACAACCAGATAGCCACTTGAAACCTAGGGGTTTGGGGTGGGAGAGAGAAACAAAAACAGTAGTGAGGTTTGTGTCTACTTTCTTTGTACATCAGCAGTAAAAACAAACAGCTAACAGTTTTCCACATTCGTGTACGCTTGTCACTGTACTGGCATGTCCCTCACTGACAGAAAAACCCCTGCAAACAAATCAGATGGAGAAAAAGTTCACTCAAAGCTTCAGAATGCCCAGGCACTGTATTTATAAATGTGATTTTTGTATGTTTCTCTGTAGTGGGGGAGAGTCAGCAAGAAACACCTGAAAAAGAGCCTAATTTGCTGATGTCACTAAGCCCTTCACCTCCAAATATCACGTCCTTTCATGACATAGCAAACTGGATGCTGGCGAAAAGTGAGGTCCTGTGAACTAATTGCCACTTCTGAAAATCCTAACCTTGGCTTTTAAGTAGACTATTAATAATCTGTACATCAAGGAACTGCAAATTTACTGTGAATTACCTTCCAGACCCTTGTAAATTATCTCATTAAATCAAAGTTTGACAATGTTGGAAGAGAATCTCATATGGTTATAGGTTCTTATATGTTATCTACTGAATGCGATTACCGGCATGTTTTGCATTATAGTATTTCTTCATTGAATATATATGTTATTGAATGTATATTTCAATTTCTCTAGCAACAGTCAAACTCTTGGTACCTCAAAACATTTCAAAACACAGCTAGAAAATCTAGACTAGAAAATATTCCAGTATATTGTTTAGATTAGTCAGTTTTCTGGTTAAAAATATTCCAGTTAATAATTTCTGATTCTCAACCCACTTAACCTGGCAGGAAAGCTGTGCTGATCTTAGCGGCATGGGGCTACAGCTTTAGACCTCCATCCAGCAGGTCAGTCACAGTGGGCAGTTAAAACCTACAGAATTGGTCTAGTCAGAGCTTTTTACTTTTCTGAATGACCACAGCCTCTAGCATCAACAGCTAAAGGAATCAGAAGAGGAACTCCTGATGATCTCACTGTTTGAGGCTCAAATGCCCATGCAGTTTTTCCTGCTAGGAAATCCTTCTGAGCTCTGATCAGGAAAAGGGTGCCTCAGATGCAAGTGCTGTCTTGCCTAATGTACTGTCAGCAGGAACAAAATAAATTATGTGATTATTTTCAAATTTCTAACCTATTTTAAGTAAGTTGCATCATTTTTCTTGTGATAGCATTCTAATTTCTTTATGCATCATATACTGGAAGACTACAAATATACTTTTAGATGTAAAACAGCAACTCAAAACTGGTTACTATGTAAAAATATTGAATATCGGATAATGGATATATATCATACACATACATAAAATTATGTGTGTCATTATGCACAAACACGTATACTGGAATAACCGTAAGTACAGTGTAAACATCTAGGTGTTTAACAGGTCTACCTATGTATTTAGTATTTCAGATGTAGCTTAAAACACCAAAGAGATACATGGAAGAAAAAATGTGCATCTCTCCTCCATCACTCAAAACAGTAGAGATAAAAATCATAATTATAGATTCGCTATCTTAAGAAAAATATACTCCAATTCTAACAATAAGGAGAAATGCAATGGCAGCCGCAATGTGGAAATCAAAGTTTGCTGCTCACACTTGGTATTTAATTACCAGTCCAGCAGAGGTTGGGATGGAGGAAGTACCAAACACTGCTTCATACAGACGCTTTCTATTTATTCAAAGAGGTAAAGTGCTGTGGTCCAAGAACATTCAGACTCTCCCTGCTCTGCTGAAATAAGTGCAACAGAGGGGACTTTAGAACAATGAAGTAGGTATGTAATAATATAAAGGGAGGTTCTCCTGAGAAGGGGTAGGAAATGACAAGTAGAAAGAACCAGGATGAACATCCTTTCTTACCATAGCAAGGAGGAAGCGCACAATCACAAAACTGTAGTAGTCAAATGTGAAGGCCACTGCGATGCCAAATACAAACTGACCAGTACTTGTGAACCATATAACACGCTGTCTTCCCAGCCTGAAAATCACAGCAGTAATAAAATTATGAATAACCACGAACATTCCATTAAAATATGACCAAAAAATGGAGTTGTATTTTTCTGCAACTCCAGAAAGCCTATCTGGAACTGAGTCTGAAATACTGTAATTAATACTTTCACTCACCACAAAAACATTAGTTTAGTTACCTGTATTCATTTTTCAGTACTTTCAACCTTCAAGAAAAAGGAAGCTCCTATGGATGGAACTTCCATTCCACAATTCTTAGCTGGAAGCAATGTGCAGAAGTGAGAATTACTTACTGCTCATCTCCAGTTTCAGGTTTAACTTCTACGTAACTAATCTGCAAATGTATTCTGTTATTTATGAGGACAGTACGTAAGACTCATTTTTTCACATATTTTATATTAAGTAGTATATAGTTAATAATTTCTAACACAATTTAGCTGTGATAACACATGACATCTCTTGCCAAACAACCAATTTGGATCGTAATGAAAGGCTTCTGTAACATATCTCTGTCCACTTATTTAAAGTTGAATTCCCCAATAAATGACAATCACATAGTTCCCCTGAATTTTCTGATTGCATCACAGCACAGAAGCATGCATGTGCAAATACAGAAATTCAGGAAGATCATTTAATAAAAGCAAAAATGTATGTCAAATACATCAACAACATAGTAATTTCCAGTGTAAAAGGAGGATATTTAGTAAAAAGAAACTTCTATTTGTTTATCTTCTTCCCATGTCTCAGAGAGAAAATATACCGAATAGAGCCAGTTCTCCCTAAATAAGGGAGCACATACTAGCAATAAGAAGCTCATCTGAGGAGAAAACCTAGAAATCAGCAGTATATCTACAAGACTCTATTGAGGATTCATTATATTTTATCTACAAATGTTCTGTAATACAAAATGTGTGTAATACAAAGCACCTTTCTTCCCTGATAATATTCTCTGGGACTCTTATTACCTAGTCCACTGCCAACAGCTTTTCACAGATGTGGATATTGTGTTTTCACAGACAGTCTGAAGACTTTCAGGGATGTGGGCTCATTTATCAGTTTTCCTTCATGAGTATTTCTGTATTGAAACAAACCCTATTTTTCTGCAACCTTGACCTGGAGTCATGCACATTTGGTTTGTGATCCCTGCCAGAAGAGATCCCATTGAGTCCTAGCTGACAGAACAATTCTGTTGGGAAGTCTGTTGATTGGGAATGGAAGAGACCCATAAACTTACTTTCCACCAGCCAGAATGTGTCAGAAAATAATCACTTTCAGCTGTAAAATCTACACTTGTATATCTGCAACTCAGAATGTATGTATTATCTTTACCGGCTGTCCATGGCTTGAATTAATGGAAATCAGAATAATATGATCATAACCTTATAAATCACATCTGAATATTAATTAATAAAGCTATGAATGATTTAAAGGGATCCAGAGCAAATGTTGGCACTATATTCTGGTTTTGTATTAAACACAGTTTTACAAAGCCTTGGATGGGGAAGCAGGATTGAGTCCATGTGTTCTGAAAGCCAAATTAAAAAAAGGATCATCTTTACCTTTACATTGCCATGTTGTAACTAGCCCACCATAGCATTGTGCTAATGAAGGAAATCAGAAATTTACATGCCTGGTCTCCTTTTTCTGCTTATACTGTTGACTGCAGGATAAAACATAACCCTTCACCTGACAGAGCTGTTAGTCAACAAGCTCCTCTATAGCAAGAGATAAATAACACTAAACAAGCCTTCAAAGCAAAACACAGGTACATAAACTGCCTGAGACAAAAACAAGTACAACATAGTTTGGGTGTTTGATACGGATTGAGGGGCATAGCTGGGTGTTGTTCTCAGGTAGGAATGTATGTTCTTGTGTTGAGAGAGAAAACCAAAAGAAGCAGGATACAGATGTACAAACTGAATCTCTCTAATGCTTCTGAGACCTGCTCTGATGCTGGATCCCAGTGTGTGATCTGAGGTAACATCCAGGGAGGAAGTGCTGGAGGGTGGAGGGCTGAAAGACAGCCTTAGTACTCTGAGCAAGAGACTGCTCAGGTTGAGTCCCTCCATGGACTGACTCTCCTCATACTCAAACAGAACTTTGTATGTGCTGGTAAGTAAGTGAAACTACAGCTCAGCTCATTGACAACCATTTTTCCTCCCATCTGGAGTAACCTTCAAGAGACTAAAGTTTAAGTTAACTATTCAGGGAAAAACTATATTTGGACAGCAAGGAAAAATACTGTATGGGTATTTATTTTAAGAACATGGGGCCTGATCAAACCCTCAAAGCCTTTTCATCAGCCCCACAGAGCCCTATTCATGACAGAGGTTAAGAAATTTGTGATTTTGAAATATACTATTTTTAATCTTCCAGTAGCCCTTTGGCTGTTTATAATATCCAGAAGTAAAAAATTATGTTTCCATAAGGAATCTCTCCTCATGGAAAATGAAATGAAAACCTACTCTCAGGTTTTACTGTTGCTATTACTACTAACTATTGCTATTCCTGTTAAACAAAGAGCCTAAAATGCTAGCTGCACAGAGCAATGGCCTAGAACAATTGATGATAATTGTAGATAAAGTACATAAAGTAGAAGTACATAAAAGTAGATGATTTGCAAATACATTTTAAAATAGTATCAGAGAAAGAAATTAAGTTAAACATAACTGTGAATAATACGATATCTAAAACTCCTGAATTAGGAGTACATAATTATGAATACACGATGAATGAGAACAACAAACAGGTAGATATACGTGAAGCTACTGCATTCTGAAGCTAGTTTTCAGAGGATGGCAATTTACCTGTCAGCAATGTCACCAAAAATCACTGCTCCAAACAAGACTCCAAGCATGAATGTAGGCTGTATTAATTTTGCAAGCCATTCTCGGTCACAGACCAGATCCCACTGTGTAACAACAGTGCTCTTCCACTTTGTATCATCATAGAGAAATCCATCAGAACAAGAAAATATGGACTTGTTGCCTTCGTATTCATATGTCAGATCCAAACCGACTTCTCGTTTGGACCTGCTGCACTGATCAAGTTCCCAAATTTCTCCATTTTCCAGCTGGACTACAATGTAATTTTCTGCTGATGCCCATAGTGTCCAGATGTCCTCTATGCTTGATCTGGAGGAGTTGTGGAAAAGAATACTACTCACATTTCCAGGGATCCCACATACAAATTTAGGAGTAACAGCCATGAACACAGATGCTAGGTAATGGATACCACATGACATAGCTTGAAAGACAGTTGCAAAATAAACACATGCTTGAAATCTGTAAAGGGAAAGAAAAATGTTTACCAAAGAAAAGCCCTCTATACATGAAAAAAAGAATAAATCAACAGAATTATTTTGCTAGGATCAGTAAATGGAGACATCATTCAAGTGTCTAGTATTTTGTTACATAGTGCTGCTTCAGTATTATCTAAGCCCTGCAAGAGACCAAAGATGAGATCCACAGTAATCTGTTGCCAGAAAATAATATTACTTTTAGTCATGTGTTTAGCCATACACAGAGAAGAACATTTAAAAAGAAACAATTTTGAATTTAAGCACTTAGTTTGAAGCAACCTTCTACCCTCTCAATTCTGTATAGTATATTCCCTCAAAATAAGGCCTTAGATTACTTGATTGGTTAGAAAAACCTCAGGTCCTGAGGGATGGAGGTATGTGCATCAAATAAAACAAACCAAATACATTATGCACTTCATTTCACCTAATTTATCCATATAAGTGTGTTCCATCTGTCTTCCATCTCCCTATTTTGCCTCCGAAAGGCAAAGAGAGAATGCATGTAGACACACGCAGAGGAAGATAGAATCTGAACAGCGTGAAATGTTTGGTACCAAAACATAGCTGTAAACAGGGTTGAGTTTTGGCTTCAACAGGGTGCGCAGTTTGCCATTAAAGATTGTATCATAAAGCAAATGTGGTAAAAGAATGTTTTATGCATAGCTTGAACTTTGGCATTTTAACAGCTTTTAAAACATGCTTAACATGCAAGTAAATCTCAGTATATAAATTGCACATGTATTCTGAATTTTGAAAGACTTGCAATGAAGTCTAGGATCACTGAATGCAAATTCTAGACAGTTTCTGGTAATCTAAGCATAAGGAGACTTTTCCTCAATTAAATGCGAAAACTATGCACGTAATTAGTACATCTGTTCAGCAAAAACAACATAGCTTTGTCTTCTCTTCCACTTTTTATTTCCTGAAGGCAAATCAATTGCACTAATTGAAGAAGCAATTATTATTCAGTGAGCTTCTACATGTACATCCTTACTGCAGTACATGGTGGGCCTTGATCATATGAAAAGAAAAGCAGCTTTTTTTTTAAATTATCAGAGGCTATCTCTGCTGAAGTTCAAGGAAACGGTGCCTAAAAAATAATTGCCTTGAAATATCTTACGGGAAAAGTCAGAGCAATGCCAGTCCCCATAACAAACGTGACCTCTAGATTGCTCCTATTCAAAACAATCTCCAAAATGTACCTTTGAATTCCCATAATTAAGATCGCAGCAGTATCTAGCCTAGGACTTTTAAATCATCTATCAGCACAATTTCCAATTCAGTTCTAAACTATCCATAATCAAAGTATTTAAATAGAATTTGCTGAATACATTGTCTGAATGTCCAATTAATTCCTGCAATTAAACAGTTCTCTCATGTAACATAACTCCATTCACCATTCTCCTTTGTCTTTTATCTCATGATTCCTCTTTCTTTCCTTGGTAAATGTAAACCCAGTTGCCCATCCTGTCTTTCCAATAGCATTGTTGCCCTTCAGGTGCAGTGTTTTTTGCCCCCCTTTCTCTTGACAACAGCTCTATTAACTTATCCACAGCAGTCTGAAGAAAGGGTTGAATTGCTAAACCCATCATGGCAGCCTAAAATCTGGCTCCACTTCCGTCTTGATGACACTCCAAGGCAGTCTCGCAGAGGTGCTGTGCTGCTTTTTCCCAACAAACCTTATGAGAGATACTGTAAAGAGAAGCTAAACATGCCCACAGCATCCCTTAAGCCTATCAATTCCCTCTCAAGAGAACAGCTTCTTGAGGATTAAGTAGCTAGCCATAAATCAAAGCAAGGCTAAAACAGTTCTGAAAGGCTTTGAGGCTATCTTGGACCACAAAAAAAGGTTATCTGAAATGTAACCTCTGTTGCCCTATTAATGCAGATAAATATGGTCAACAACAGTTTTTAGTTATTCTTCTCTAGTTTCATTTTAACTGTTCCCATCAAAAGTCACAAACACATTTTAAAAATCGCAATGCAAGACCAAAAATCAACAACTTTGGCTACTGTTGCAGTATGCAGAATGACTGAAATCAGGACTGGAAGACCACTAGCAAGTAGCAAATTAAATCCCTAGAGCTTGTGCAGTTACATCTACTAGCTAATAAAACGTGGTATGCCTGGTGCCAGGATCCCCAGTATTTGCAGCATCTGTCATTAAGCATCAGGAAACTGCAGTCTCCAGTTGGTATTTCCCAGACAGAGGAAGAATGAAATAATTTCAAACTCCCACATGGTCTTCTCAAGTTTCCTAATTAGCTCTTGCAGTACAAGAAATATGAAGAAATATAATTTCTCTTCCACCCAGTAAGAGTGAGCAGGACAATTATATTTATGGCCTTTCTTGTTGAAGAGGCTTCAGAGAAGATAACTTCTAAGGATACAGACTGTGAAGATGGCATGAACCAATGCACCACACTAATTTTTAAAACCCCAAACCCAAGAGCATCACCAGGGCTCTGATTTGAATCAGGTCTAGCTAAGCTTAACTGCTCCCTTGAGAGTTTCATCTTATCTCTTCCTGAACAATGCTTGTGATCATACTTTAATAACCATTGTGACAGACTATTCCACTGTCAAATCTTTTTGTTGGAAAGTTTCTCATTAAATCTAATCTTGATGTCTCTTTTTCCAGTGTAAGATTATTATCAGCTTATAAAACATCCATATGCAACCTTAGATAAATCTTCCCTGTTTTTTATAATTTCTTTGTACAGATTTATCAGTTATCCCCCTCTACTTACTAAAACTATATACATTATGGTCCCTTACCCTTTCCTCATTTTTTCTTTTTGTCATATAGCACAGTTTCCACCCCTATAAAAAGCAATAAAGGATTTATTTTAAAAAAACATCCGTGTCATGCCGTATTTAATTCATCTTTCAAGGGTTTAACTTAGAACATGATATAATGGATTTTCGTAAAACCATTCTTCCATTTTACTTCTCCTTATTTATCACCAATGAAGAAATCCACTCTGCAGTTATTTTTCTTACCTAATTTGCAGCACGTATGCTAAGCAAACAGAATGCCAGATACACATTAATAGATGTAATTTATGCTGCCTATGAATTCATTTAAGAACAGGAAAACATGTTTTCTACAACAAAATGGCCATGTTGCTGCAGGATGTTGCAAGGTTGATTGAAGCACAGTTTTTAACCTCTACATGCTCAAGCCAAGGAGTAGGCAGGGGGAGAAGGAACAGGAGAGAATGAGGCCTGATATGAAGCTAGAAACATATTTGGCAGCAGCAGTGGCTGGAGGCATCCCAACCTACACAAGTGGGCTGCCACCTCACTATGGGCTTCTCCCCTGCTTGTAAAACCTAAGTACTGCTCTCTCCAGTAAAATTCCATGTTGGGCTGGGCTAAGACTCTCTGTATACATACATACATACATATATATACACACATGTATATATATGTAAAAAACACACACAAAGTATTCTGAAAGCCCTCTTTTGCTCTGAAGACAAAATCCATTGCCAGCTGCAGTAGTCATGTAGTCATCCCCACTAGATGCTAGATTGAAAAGCCCAACATTATGAGCAGCGGAGACTCTCCTCTGGGTGGGAAGAGCTTTTCTAGAAAGACCTGTTGGACAGAGGTCAGAAAATTTGTTAGCTTGCACAGTTACCAAAAAGGAATTAATTTGGCCATTAGTGCAAACATAAAGAAAGCATGAAAAGTATGTGGGGAGGTTGATAATGTGGGATGGAAGAATACTATAGATCCATTGAACTTTGCTTTCCAGAACAGCTGAAGATTGAAAAGGAACAGCAGAGACACAGGCCAGGCCCCGTGGTAGACATGGTAGATCTCAGGTTTCTAGAACAGGGTTTGAGGCAGCAGACAGTGCTGAACACAGAGGAACATAAAGCTATTGCCTCCTCTACTGCTAATTTGGGACCCCTCTTTTGCACCTTTGGGTGCATGATTTTTTTTTCTCAGCCCTCTTGTCTGTGGCCATTTCAATGTTCTTCTCTAATCTTAAAACCCTAGAGTCGCAGCTTCTCTTCCTTGTGGGAGAACTTGATGCTGGGGGAGCACCGCCCACCTGCCTGGGGAACCAGGAACAGCCCCTGGCAAGGCTTTGCTGTGTGAGGAGGTCTCAGCAGAACGTATACAGGTCATACACTTCACTGACCCTGAGGCACAGGTTAAAGTTTATGCTATCCTTGATACCTACTGTAAATTATTAACTCTTTTCCTGAATTCTTAAGAACACTGGACTGATAAGTAACTCCTTGATTACTAAGCTTTAATCTCTCTATTACAGGCAAACATGTAATAGAAACCTTTTAGTAAGCTCACCAAACTCCATTCTAAAGTTATATTTCCCTGAAAAAAAAAAATATTGCTGGTCATGCATCAGAATTGCACAAAAATACCATTGCAGCAGCAATAAATGCTCTCTAAATTCACCAAAAGACAAGTCTGTGATCTGTTGTCCTGCGCTGATCTCAAAAAGCGCGGGTTTTGGCAAGGGTGATTTATAAACCAGTTATTTTCACGTGCACCCACTGGATTACATAACACATATTGCTGCAAACAGTAGTTTTCAATGACCTATTTTACAGACTTTTTTTTCTTTTAAAATAAACATGCTTTTTGCATTCTTTAAGATCTGTAAACATGATTATCCTAAAAGGTATGATAATCTCTCCCAGTGTTTTTCCATCTCTTCAGTGACTTGCCATGGGAGATAATTACTTGGCAAGCACATTTCGTCACTCTTGCCAAGAGTGTCAAATATAGAAGTCAAGAAGACTTTGTAGGTTACTGCTCTAGTATAGAGACTCCTAATGAATGCCAGAAGTCAAATGAGCATAAAACTGTCTTCACAAAAGCTTGAGCAAGACACAACATGAAAATGTTCCAGTCTTTCTTAAATATTTCTGAGAAATTTCCTCCCCATTATTCTTTTTTCAGTTTACAGCTTATAGTAAACAAGACTTTACATTTTCTAACTTT